TATATTTATGAGTTAGCAAAAAAAAAAAACGCAGCTAACACTAGCGTTAGCTTGGTAACGCCAGTTTACACGTTGCTATAGCAACCACAAACGTCACGCTCCGTGTGGGCCACACCCACACCACAGCAGGTGTTACGCCAAATATTGCACGCCTCCCGAGAATTACATGCACCTCCAAATAGGCCTACTGCTTTTAAACGCTATAATATTCTTTGTGGGTTTCAATCAATGGTGATAAATGATTCGAAGTATGTGTTTTATGAACGTTTAGAATCGTTAATATTTTGATACACTTAGTAAAAGTAGAATTCCTTGACAGTCAATTAAAATATTGTTCACAGCAAAGTGTCTGAAAGGGATGCATTAATCGGCACAACACCTCTTAAATAGCGGCCTTATTTAACGGCTCTGGACTACTTATATTGTTCAAATTTAATGTTGTTTATTTTTAGTAGCATATTTACATTGTCTGTACTTTGATTTCTTTTTGTATTTGATTGTTTATTTCTTGTTTGTATAATTATTTTTTTCTGACGACTAAGCCACACTAAGAATATGTCAACTTTTCAACAAGACATTAATGTTTTATCATTCTGGTTTTTATAAGTGGGAGCGTTTTGTTGTGGAAAAGTTTAATGCCAGTTTATGATTGCCACACACGTTTTTTTTTTTACCCAACAAACTAAAAGAGATAAAATGCAGAGACAGTTGAGGCAGACAAGGACAGTTCAGTGGTTTAAAGATCAGTGGAAGATACAATTAAGCTTACAGGCAGACAGGGGTAGGTAGGCAGCATAGACTGTATATTAAAAGGTAGGCAGGCAGGCACAGTTAAACGCACAGTTGGGCAGACAGGCAGGTACAGGTGGTTAGAAAGTAAAAAGACATGGAGACAAACAACGATCTAACAACTGACTGGGGAAAAGGGGGCTGGTATATCTGCTGCGGGGCTAATAAGAAAATCAGGAGCAGGTGGGGGAGATAGGCGAGGAATGGCCCAGCAATGTCCACCCTCACAGACTTTGAGGCGCGAGCCCTTCCCTTTTTAGACCCTTTTCGTAAGTCCGCATTTCTGCAGACTTTGCCTGAGGGATTTGCCCACAGTTCATAGCGGTATGACGTGAAACACGGGGGTTTACCAGGGTTACCAGGGGACACTGGAAGCGAAATAAATCTCCAGCAAAACAAACAAGCATGAAAACTAAGGCTGATGTGAAAATTGTTAAAATTTTTCTACACATAGATTTAAGATGCATAAAACACATGAAGTCAGAGGAATGCAATCACCTTATTACACACTTATTTTATTCAACTTGGCCTTTGCTTGATGATGCTGTCTTGACCAATAATAATGCATTGATTATTGACAAATATAGATTGACATTTACCTCTCCTCCACTCTGTAGGGCAAGAGCCTGCGAAACTTAAAAATCAGGCCAAAATATACAATAAAAAGTGTGCAAAGTGTTTCAACGTGGTCATGGTAAGGTGATAATGTGGCAAAGTGCCGTCCCATTCCTGTTTACAGCATTTTGAGCCGCTTGCAGCCTCTTTCACTCAATCACTGACCAAGTGACTTCAGTAAAGTCTCTGGGGATTCAGGGCTGGGGGACATTGGGATTAGGCTAATGAGGTGATTGCAGGTAAATGAGAGTGGCAGGATATTGGGGGGAAAAAAGAAAGTCTGAAGGTAAAGAAAGTGTAAATGTGTCTGTAGAGAGGGACTGAGAGATGCAGAATGAGCAAGAATCCACACAAAAGAGGTGTATATTGTTAAAACAATGGATATTTGGATCCTTGTAGATCTCATTTAGGAGCTGTCTAAGGATCGACATGTTGATGGAAGAAGTACACATGATGAACGTACTTATCTTCAACTGGTCCCGGTAGATGCAGTTTAGCAGGTTTTAGTCAAGATTTGGAAAACAATTATTAAAATAAAAAATAAAACTCCCAGCTGTACACTGAAATTACAATCTGCCACAGACAGAGGAAGCATTCGCTTCAAGTAAAATAAATTAAATGTGTTTTTGTTCATTCAGTTTCCTTTAGTGATCTTGCCGTAGCAAAACTAGTATAGGCAGCCCATTAGTAGAAGCAGAAAGTAAGTATTAGTGGTACCAACTGTTGAATCACAAGCAATACTAGTAGTAGAAACACTATTACTAGTATTATAAAAGTACTCGGTAGTATTTGTAATTTTAATTGTGCTGAGGATGCAGAGACTTATACTCAGTCATATAGAGCCCAACACCTCCAACAGCTACAAACACGACAGCTGGAAAACTTTTAAAGCTGGTTCTGTCAGCGTAAGAATGAGAACCAGTCTTATTGAAGGAGTTTTACAGCTTCTCATGATTTACAGTCACAGTATAGGAGCTTTATGTTGAGCTATATGCTGCTATTTCAGTATGTGAGCCAGAAAAGGCGACATGGTGGCCCCTGTAAAGCTCCACTAATCTGCTTCTGGACATATGAGATCACACATCAGTGCCGGGTGTGGGGTCCTTTCTGGATTACACTGATTCACACTAAGATACTTATACACACACTGGGACCTGACCAGCTAATAGATCCAGACAATATTATTCTTATTATTCTATTTCTTTTTTTTGTCTGCACTGGTTTACTGTTAGATGTTATCTTGTGTGATACAATGTTTGTTATAATAAAAAAAGAGAGATGTATCATTTCTGCTAGGTTTTCCTCATTAAATACAACTTAAAAACATTCAAGTGCTTTAGTGAGAAAAGGAAGGGAGTAAAACAGAAGTGTCAAATTTACAGAAAAGCAGAGAAAAGCCAAAAACAACTTAAATCAAGCCTATGAAAGTCATTAAAAGTTTATAAAACCAGAGTCACAAACAGCAGAGAACAAAACCCAAGCATTAAAATCACACCAGGAAACAATTACAAAACTGTTTCCTCATAAAGAAAGATTTAAAGTCTGGATCGAAGAGATGGCAAAGAGCTCCGCTGTCACCTGGTGCAGTTTCCCTGCAGCTTTTGTTTTAACTCAGCCAACAGTTTACGAGACTTTCATCATCTCATATTTCTTTGACAAAGCAGCGGGGAGGAAAAAATAGACCCAATTTGATTTTGGTTTCCGTGAAACAATAGACAGTGAACTTGCTGGCTGGATGAGTCCACGGCCTGAGTCCCAGAGGCTTGTGGGATCTTGAATGTGGGATTCCCGCCAAACACGGCAAAGACCCGGCTTATCTCACACAATAGCACACGCAACCAGCTATATTTAAGACCAGCATGGCCAGGTGTTGACCACATGCCCCTCAGTGTGTTTCTGCAGCCAGTGCTCCGAGGCATCTGAAGGCAGGTCACAACTAAATATATAAACACACACACGCTGTTAGTGGAGAGTTACCCACCAGCGTGAGCTGCTAACATACCTCGCAGGTGAGAATTTTTAGGTTCATCTGCACAGACATGCATGTATTTGATTTTTTTCTACTTGATGTTTCTGTCAGAATTAGGATTTTTTATTTTGCTGGGAGGTGGTCATTTAAAGTGAATGTGTTAGCAGGGAATGTTTCATTTTGTCTGCAAAGGGGGTGGACACAATAACCTGTACACCTGTAGGTCTGCAATCTATACCATGTTTTGTTGTCATCTGCAATTGTTGCAGTTTTGCGTTGGCATGAAATTTATGTTTTCTTTTCATGCTTTTAGTCCATGGGGAGACTTAAATATTCAAACAAAAGTAAGTTTATAATGTTTTCCCTGTCCTCCCTAATGCTTCATTTACAATCTGTAATTTCAGAATGGTTTCTTCGAAAGAACTATGTAATTTGGTGATAATTACAGGGTAAATAGAAATTTTAGTTCAGTTGTTCAATTTAAAGAAATTTTAAGAAAATATTCACTTATTACTAATTCATAATTGGGATCTTTAATCTTCATTAGTGTGGAATTGTTTGCTTGCCTATGGACAAATTCCACATAGGCATGCTCAGCTGATGCTAGCTAGTGGAATTGATTAATTTAAATTACATTCATATTCATTCATTTCCAGGAAAGTTCCTGGGAAACGATTAGGAAATTGCAGATCTGCTAAATGAAACGTTGCCTTTTGTTTCTGTTGACACTCTGCCGTAAGATGTGTTGACTCAACTCCATGGTTATTTTTTAAAGGCTATCATCGTTGTCTTGGATTGATGTGTTTCTGTTATTTTGTCCACCCGCTTGTACCTTGGAGTATTTAAACTGTATGCAGGTCTAGAAGCTCTGTGAGGAATGCGAGGACATTTTTAATCTTAAATTATTTCAGAATAACACAGCTTTCCAGCTGAAGAAGTAATTGTCATCGTTTAGATCACAATAACATTAAAGTGGTGTTAATGTTACTCTGCAAGTTGATAGGGTCATTTGGCACAGAATCAGCTTGTTTGAACCAATGATATCATCACTCAGAAGGAAGAAAATCAATACTAAATGATGGGAGTAATTTAAAGAATGGTATGCGGGATGTTAAAACTCCACTTAATGCTTTTTAGCGCATTTTAGCTCCTTGTTTGTGTTTTTTATGGCACATTTACTGTCTGGTTCAGTCTGAGTGTTTCCCGCAGCAGCAGGGAGTTGATCATACGAGCTGTGATACACCCACTGTAAACTACCTCATCAGCACCAAACCGCAGACAGACACAGTTAGAGACTCGCCAGTGAAGAAAGTTGAACATCTAGCTGCTAGAGACAGACATTTTTCTCAGGAGATGGTGGAGACCAAAACAGAGCTAACAGGAGGATACAAACGCATCTTTAACGGGGTGATCAATTAGCTCTGTGTCTTCTGGATGGGAAAATAGCAAGCTGTTGATATCAGTTGTTTTGTTTCCAACTTGTTCTGTCCACAAGTGGCCGAAAAATCTAATATTGTAAATCTAAGCATACATGATTTGTAGTTAATGCGCTCAAAAATGCAAACCACCAGTTTGGTCCTTGAAAAGCTGCTTATAAACTGGAATCATGTCTCCTCCCTGTAGAGTGATGAACACTTATGAAGACTATGGTGAGGAGGAGATCAATGATTACATCATCCAGCTCAATATTCAGGACTCCTGCCAAGAGGCCTTTCTGAAATCTGCAGCAAGGTATGGAAGCCACATCCAAACTTCACCCATCTCCAGAATTTCTTTTTATATAATTTGATCAAAGCTGACCAGCTGACTGCCCTGTGCTTCCTCTGCTCCTGGCTATTAGTTTAGCCGCAGTAACAGATGAAAATTTGAGAGTCCTGGCTGCCATCGAGCAAGGTAGGTTGGACATGACCCTGGAAATACCTACATCATTACAGAGCATTGTCTTTGTGTTTGGCTCTCCTCTTAACATCACACGGCCGGCAGCTGAAGCTGAGGACTGCCAGCCATCAGGAGACCGGCAGACAGACAGGGAGAGGGAGATATATAAACAAAGAAGTGGGCGAGATGAGGTATGAGAGAAGGAAAAGGGGGAAAACGAGTCTGTTCTTTAATCTCTTCAATTTTTCTTTCCTGGCCAGGTAAGGTCACAGTGCTCAGGGAGATGCTGAGGCACACCTTGGCCTTCAGGGAGTCGGACAGTCACGGCTGGCTTCCCCTCCACCGAGCCGCATCCCAGCCAGTCCTGGAGGTTCTGGAGACTGTCTTGAGATGTGAGTCAATATATACAGTATAAGGGGATTCTTTAAGTCTCTGACCGTTTGATTAATTCCTTTAAAATGTACAGTGAGAAATAAAAAATGTAAATAAATGTTCCCATGTATTATTTTATGTCAGCTGACACCATCAAAAGTGCCTAAGGGTTACTGATTATCTGACTAACTGAAGAGGTCACTTCATAGCAAGTGTTTTAGTGCATTAATGCAGCAGCACAAGTCCAGTACCTGAGGGAGGACTTGAGGTCATTATGTCAGTAATGTAGGAAGGTGTGACACCTGTAAACTGTGCACTGAGCTAAGGCTAAAAGTCACAGAAAAACGATAGTTACTGTTTAGCTAAACCCTTTGTAAACCCCAGATAAGCTACTCAGATGCTAAGTGACAGACAGACAGTGGTGAAAACATAACCACCTCCCCCCTTTAACATTTGAGGTGACACAAATAAATAAATAAATAAATAAATAAATAAATAAGGTAAGCGAAGATGAAGCACATCAAGTTGATTGCAGGAAGAGCAAGAGGACTAGTGATATCAAAATAATGGCTGCTTGAAATAATATTAATGCACAGAATACTTCATTGAGAAATGATGCTGCCTTCCAGCTGTCTCTGCCTAAAATAACACGTGATGTCGCCCCCTACTAATTCAGCCTGGATGTCAGCAGACAATGAGTTGTCCCCGGTTTACCGGCTCACCTGCCAGGTTAGCGCGACTGGCAGAACGATATGAACTCCAGGAATGTACACGTTGACCTCTGTGTGTTGTGTTTGTGTCAGTGGCAGCTCAGGGGCTCAGCCTGGAGGAGAGGACGGCCGTGGAAGGAGAGACGCCACTGACACTGGCAGTTAAAGCCGGACTGGTGCAGAATGTGAAGAGCCTGCTGGAGCACGGAGCCTCGCCTCACAACACCAACAGCAAAAATGAGTCACCGCTGCTGCTCGGTAACACCTTAAAGCATTGGGGGAAGTGCTTAACAAGGCTAATGGTCCCATGAGGCAGTAATGGAAATGTGAAGTAAAGTAAAAATGGAACATCTTTGTTATTCGAACATCTTTATCACTAGTGGGATAAATGTGTAAAGTGAGTAACATTGGTGAGAAACAACACTCTTTGGGGGTGCCTCAGCCTCAGGGTGGTTTGTCATTCTATAAATATATACAGCTGATTAAGACACACTTTTCCCTCACCTTTCAGCTGTGAGGGCCGGCTCTTACGAGATGGCGTACACGCTGGTGTCTCAAGGCACCTGGGTGGAGCAGGTTTGCCGGAAGAAGTGGACGGCAATGCATGAGGCCGCCAAAGTCGGCAGGGTGGACATCCTGATGCTGCTGCTGAGGAACGGCGGTCGGGTAAACAGCAAGGACGTGACAGGAGTGACGCCCCTGTCCGTAGCCGCAGAGCACGGACACTCCCACGTCGCTGAGATTCTGCTGAACTGTGGTCAGTCTGAAGATAAAACTGACTTTAACTGCAGGCGTAGAGACTGGAGACGTGATGAATTTGTCAGATTTCACAAACGCAAGAATGAAAACATAGCATAGTGCATTAAAATACCTAAGTATTGACTTGATAAAGGTTAATATTTCAGTCATTCTGGAATTTGTTCAATTTTCATTCACTTCCCCTCTACACACCTGTATCTCAAATGATCAGTCCAATCTCCTCTTGGTTCTTCCCGCTGTTCCCTGCTCAGGTAGCAGAGTGAACTCTCAGGCCTGTAATGGAGAGAGTGTCCTGCAGGATGCAGCCGGATCAGGAAACACTGCCTGCATTCAGCTGCTGCTGGACAACGGAGCCGATCCCAACCTGCCTAGCATCACCGGACACCTGCCCATCCACAAGGCAGCGTACGCCGGACACTACGAGTGAGCTCCTTTTGTCCAACACTGTGAGACTGTTGGTGACACTGAATGCTTGCAGAGCTAATGGCTAATGTAATGGAAGCGCATCAGCTCCCACTCCCCCCTTGCAATTAATACAAATGTATCTGCACGTGTAAATATTATTTCATTTCCTATCATGCACAAACCTGGCACATTGCACATATTTGTTGTTAATGATTAATCTTTGTTGCTGTATATTTTTATATTGTCAATTTATATATTTATGTACACAATATTCTCTTCCGTTGCAATACGTCTGCACTACACAAACCCAGAATAATGCACATGTAAATATCTGCGACGTTGTTCGTTCTCTGCAAATAGTTTTCTCTATTCTTTTTATTATTCTTATATAACTTGCATTGTCTATTCCATATTTATATATTTCTACAGTTATTTCTGTATGTTTGTCTACGTGTAGCACCTTATCACCAAAGCAAATTCCTCCTATGTGTAAAACACTACTTGGCAATAAAGCTCCTTCTGATTCTGATACCCGAGATTGCCAGTTCGAGTCAGGACCATGCAGTAGCACAACCTCAGGGAGAACCATTAAACTAACACGCTAGCAAACCAGCAATATGCTAGCCCTAGTCTGTCACAGTAGGTTCCCTGTAGTGCTTCTGTACCAGGCCATTTACTGCCCCCCCCCCCCGGCATTTGTACATCGTTGCAATCAATCAATCATTTCAGTCAATACAGAGTTAATGGAGCAGGGAACAAATGAGTTCTTAGAGCAAAATGGTTAGTTTAGTCGCTAACCGGACAATCAGTTCAAACTTTATTTGAAACATGTATTTGCACTGTTGACTCCTGTCTGATAACCGTCTGCAAACCGTTCGTCCTTTGTGGAACAGTTGATCCTCTGTCTCCAGCTCTCTGTTCCCTCAAAGGTCAGCACTGTCAAGCTTGTTACTGTTCAGCAGCATAAATTCACATGTCACCCTCGAGAGCAAATCCATTGATTGTGATGATTCCACTGAAATCAACTGACTCGCCATAAAAGTTTGCCTTTTTAAAAGCTGCCGTGACTGGGCCTTCAGACTCAAAAGTCTTTGTGAACTCTTTGTTATTATGAAGTGATTGGACTGTTGTTTTCTTTTCTCCAAGTGCTCTGAAGATGTTGATACCTCTGACCACCAAGAAGGCCATCAAAGAGGCGGGTCAGAGCCCGGTCCATTCTGCGACGGATGGAGGTCAGAGGTGCTGCCTGGAGCTCTTGCTGGCCTGCGGCTTCGACGTTAACTACCGCATGAACACGAGAAACTCTGAAAACTACCGCGACATGAGGAGAAGCGCACTGTACTTTGCTGTCTCCAACGGGGACGTAGACTGCACCAAAATCCTGCTGGCAGCTGGGGCGAAGACGGACCTGGACCCACTGTGCTGCCTCCTGGTGGCGGTCAGGTCAGGGCGCTACGACATTGTAAAGTTGCTTCTGGCGGCCAAAGCAGACGTTAACTGTTACTTCACAGTAGTGAGCGACACAGTGTTTCCCACAGCGCTGCAGTACTGCCTGAAGGACGAGGTGATGATGAGGCTGCTGCTCAACAACGGCTACAAGGTGGAGCGGTGCTTTCATTGCCACCATGACAATGCTTCTAGTGCTGCGGATGAGGTGGAGGGGAAAATTCCTGTGAGTGACTGTTTTCCTTTAAGCAATTTTCTTAATATTTTGGGAAATATGCTTACAGGCTTTCTGGCGGAGACTTAGAGGAGAAGATATATTACACTAATATCTGCCCATTAAATGGTAAGGTTAAAGCCAGCAGCTTCACTTTAGCACAAAGACTAGAAACAGGTCTAAACATCTAGCCTGGTTCTGCCAATAGTAACAAAATCCCAGCACCAGCATCTTTCATGTCATTCATTAGTTACCATTTTATACATATTTTGTTTAATTTGTACAAAAACGTAAGTGTAATAAGGACAATTCACCATTTTATATGAATTATGTTTTGTTATGTGCTGGACCATTCCTCGGCTCTGAGCAGTTACCAAGAAGCTCCTGCTCCCAGGCAGCTACTTTACGTTGTCAGGCGGGTGGCAAAAGACAGGATGGACTCCAAAATGGATGGGGCTCTGCATAGGCGGACGTGTTTAAATGTGTGCTTTTGGGCCATGTGCACAGTTTGACTGCATCGGGCTGTGGATGATCCGCCCAATTTGCAGTCATTGCCAGATGACAAAATGTATGTCATGCGGCTGCTTGTGGCAGTGTTGATGAGTGCTGAATCATTTGCACTTAGAGGTGTGAAGGTTGGGATGGTGCGTGGACATGTAGTGTGTCTGATTTTCATGCAGGAGATAACCATAACCACAATCTTTACCTAACCTTAACTAAGTGTTTTCGTGGCCTAACGTTAATCATACCTTTACCAGTTTATTTGCCATACAAACGATGTGACATTTTAGCAAATCAGTCAATCAATATCAGCGTTCTGGTCTCTGCCACCCGGATTATTTAAACACACTTGCTGTTACCGCCCGTAACCACAGGTGTCGCCAAATAAACCTGAAATCTCAAGTGTTCAATTCTAGTATGATTGTTTTCACCCGTTATCTTAACTATAACTGCATGCACCATCTTTAAAGCTATTTTCAAATAATTTAAACACATTTCTCAGTAAGTGGATATTAACGATCAGTGGTTAAATCCATTGCCCAGTGTGAATGAGAAACATCAATTGAGGGTTGGGATGATTACTGACAAAGACCACAAGTGGAAGCCACTTCTTAAAAAATACAACTGCCTGCTGAAAATCTGCATTTATAAAGGAAAAGAAGAATATTGAACATAGATAGAATATATAAGTTGCATATTTCTAGTGAGTGTTCATTTTCTTTAAAATATGTTTTAAATTTTTTTACTTTTATACACATAAAAGAAAACATTAATAACCTTACGATGATGTCCATCCTCTCTCTTCAGTTCTGTGAGTTCATGAGCCTCTGCTGCCTCATGCATCTGTCTGGGAGCGTCGTCCGGATCCTGCTAGACTACGTCAGCCACTTCCACATCTGCTCCAAACTCAGACTCACCCTGGAAAACCAGGCAGAGTGGCCTGAAATATGTGACATCCTCAGTGAGTTAATCCGTGATTTTATGACAATTATCAGATTGGAGGCAAGAGATTCAGGTGCACCGCCTCACCTGAGATAAAGACCGCCTCTACTAAAATCTGAAGAAATGATCACACTTTAATGAACTAAAACTAACCTTCAACACACATCAGAGTTGCTACATCACACAGCAAAGACCACATGACTGAAGCAGTTGTTTGGATGTTTGTTAATCTGTTGGTAATGTCTTTTTTCTTTGATCAAGAAGAGGATTTTTCAACGACTACAGAGTATCATGATATTTAACACCCCCACCTCAATTTTAATGAGCTTTCTGCTTGTGCCTCCCTCTGGACAAATTTTTAGATCCACTAGTAAGACTCAAAAATCATTATGTTGATCACTTTACCTTTGGGGACACTAGCAGGAGTGTCAGACTTTTAATATAGTGTCTTTCCTGAACAAAAATGTTTTCCTATCATCTCTCCTTTACCACCATAGCAAATAGTTTTCATTCCCAACTTGTCACACATGGATGCTTGGTCAACAACCTTGGTGTCGCTTTTTAACGCCTTGGGTGCCCTTTAGCATTGTTTTTGCAAGTGTAGGGTTAGCAAGAATAAACATGTCACATGGTTTATTTTGAAAGTCTAACTGGACTTCGAGTCTAATTAGACTTTCAAAATAAAACTAGTGGTTGTGAAACATCACAATTTGCTTAGTAGAGGCAACAACTTCTCTACTTGGTTAGTTCATGAAAAGATCATGGTTTGGGTTGAAATATCTTAAAGGATCACAGCTCACAGGGATTTCTTTGAAATACTTTAACCTCATTATTTGAAGCTTTGGCCATGTTTAACATGATCATCCAACATTGTAACATTGTAGAGAAGTCATAAAATAAGGAAAAGCATAATAGTTAAGTAACGTTGCAACTTGTGTAACTTACTTAATCTAACTAAAAAGAATCAATGTTGACATTTTGTTTCACACGGGAAACAAACACAGTCTCCTGGATGAAAGTCTGGTTTCAACCCACCCATGTATTTATTGCCTTAAGTGTAATTTATACTTCTGTGTCGAATCGACGACGTAGATGACGGCATAGGCTACGGGGCTACGCAGAGGCTACTCCGTCGCCTGACGTGCACCTCCTCCAAAATGTAACTACACGTCCAGGTGACGCGGACCGCAAGCTCTGTGATTGGTCGGCTGGGTAGCCTCGCAATGCCTCCAAGCTGGCAGGAAGTGCCCGTGCTTTGAAGTAACTTTTACTAGCGGCGACTTCTTGCAAGATGGCGTAGTGAGCGGCTGCACGGAAGAAGCTTTCTTGCTTAATTTCCTCAGAACACTCTTTAATTTCGTATTCCCACCAAGTATCTCTACTTTTGAAACTAAAAAGAAAGAAAATATCCAAAAAATGTCTCAAACGGAGTTTGAAGACGTTTCTTCTCTCTCTCGAGGACAGGATGATGAATATGCCATGTTAGACCCAAGGGACACGGATAGACCGAGAGGTGATAAACAAAGCTTGGAAGACACATGTGAGTTCACTCCCTCCACTCCATCTAAAGGAGCTCATGTTCGAAAGATAGCAAAGCTAAACGAGGATGAAGTATCAAACTCCACAATCCTTGCTGCAATTAACACACTAGCTGTGAGGTTTGACACGCAAGAAAAAAAAAACTAGAAGATCTTAGCACGCTGTTTAATTAAAACTGTGCTATGATAGCTAGCTTAACCAAAGCATATGACTTTAACGCTGCAGAGGTCAAAGACTGCAAAACGAAAATATCAGTAATAGAAAAAGAAGTGGACCGCCTAAGAGTGGAGAACACTGAGCTAAAAGAAAGGCCAAGAGAAATGACAGATATAAACGGAGATGGAATTTAAGAATCAAAGAAATGAAGGAGAAAGTGAACAAGGAAACCAGAAGTGATGTGATTCAACTGCTTGGCAAAATAGCACCTCACTGGGAGAAGAACGTGGATGACATCGTGGACACGGCCAGAAAGCTGAAAACAGAACGCCCTATATCATTGCCTAGTTCTGAGGACGACAACACAGTGATGCATTTTGGAAGATGACGAAGGAGTCGAAGGTCTGCCATGAGGCTGGAATTAAGTTTGTGGAGGATCTCACAAAAGGAGGACAGATTGGCAAGAGAAGCTTTGTGGCCACACATCAGCCAGGCAACGAAGGCTGGAGAGAAAGCATACTTCCGTGGTCAATTCGGTTTCATAAATGGCCGCCGGTTTCAGATTGGAGACGATTAATTAGAGCCTGCTCGGCCAGCAAAAGTCAACACAGTGGACGTTGTAGCGCTACTGCTGACTAGCGTTTGGGGGCGCAGTCAGTCATTCAGCAATTGGAACAGAAGCGGACTTGATGACGGCCGGACTCGTTAGCGGGCGGGACCTCACATCTCCAAAAACGTCGAAGCAATTTTTTTAATCTTTGTTATATTTGTTGTTTAAACAACTATATTCCCACATAAAAAAACTCTTAAAACTACTATGTGAGACACAAGAACAGCAATATTATAAGTTACAGTTCTGATTTTTCTTGTCCGACATTTCCGCTTTTTGGCGGCGAAATGCATTCTGGGATATCTGGGGGTGGTGACACACCGATGCAGGCTCAGTAAAACGGGCGGAGCGAGAACACATCCGGGTATTTTACTGTACTTGGCTGGATGCGGACTTTTGAATTGGAACAGTACTTTGGCTGCGACTTATGACGAAGTCCACAAGAACACAAGTACAGACAAGAACGCAGATTGAGAAACGGCCACGGACGCACAAGTATAAATGCCTGGCTACGTGCATAGCTACGCCGTAGGCTACGCACGTAGCCAGGCATTTATACTTGACCCTACGCAGGAGTATAAATCAAGCTTTAGGCAAGGATTATACTTTACGCATCCGCGAGTACGGACCCTACGCAAGGATTATACTTTATCGAAGGATGTGACAAAGACCAGGTATTTGATGCACTGGGAATGAGAACAGGCCTTTGCGGGAATGAGAACAGGCCTTTGCGGGAATGAGAACAGGCCTTTGCGTATAATCCTTACAAATCTGTTTTATTACAGTATAAACTAATAAAGGAAAAATTATTTTCTGAATCTTGCTCTCCAGGCAGTCCTCGCTCCCTCAAGCACCTCTGCAGACTGGACATCCGGAGGCGTCTGACCCTGAAGAAACTCAACAATCCGGAAATCATGAACTCACATGTTTTCCCTCCAAGACTGAAGCGCTTCATACTGTACCACGAGTTCGACCTCTACAGCAAGGACCCTGAACAAATCGTATAAAGACTTGTGGTCGATGCAAGAGTCCCGCTTGCTCAAAGGATGTAACAGATTTTTAATGGTTGTAATCTCTGGTTCTGATATGCATAATACTGTATATATAAACTTTTATTATTATTATCCAAGTACTTGTCTGCATAAATGTGATTGTAAAAGACAAAATCTACATTTCAGACCATTTACTGCAGGTCGAATATGCTTTTTCCAAATCAATTCCTTGTTTTTCCCCCTAGTATGGCCTACAGGTGGTGAGATATCTAAACAACTACTTGACAGAGCTTAATGAAATTTACAGTGGATATTCTTAGTGACCCCTGTGACCTTTCATCTAGCGCCACACTCAAGAAAAATGTTCCTCTTGCAATTGGTTATAAAATATCAACATCTATTGCAAAAAATTCTTAAACAGTAATATTTAATATTTTTCTTACAGTTAACCCATACGCAGACCCAAACAGTTAATGTATTCAGTAACAAATACTGTTTGTATCAAAGCCCGATATCTTTTCTTCCTCTGTGCCATAGAGCTTCATAGTCATTTTTTCACTATTAAAAACACATCAGTGAGCCTCACTGTTGCATGAGTGACATGTTCATTCATCACCGTGAACACACACTGTAGTTTATTTTGACTCAGTCCCGACTTTAGTGCCCAACAACTGCACTACTTCCTCCTGTTTGAGTAACATTAAAAACTACAGTGACAAGCTGTTATTTGGAAATGACTGAGCCTCTTTTAAAAATGAAACATTATATTTGTGATGTGTTTTTAAAGAGTTATGTCTTCACTAGGAACCAATGGGCTTTAGGCTGAGAGCCACAGACAGGAAGTCAGAAAGTATTGAGAGGCATACTAAGACGTTTTTGGTTCTCTTATTCGGTCAGCCATATATCTGAATGTTTCTTTTTACAATGTAAATATCCAGTGTCTCTGTATATGAATTGTGAGCTGCATTCTTTTAGTCTCAGAATTTCGTCATTTTGATGATTGTCCCTCACCTGATGCCTGTAATGTGCAGTATTTTGATGATGGAATTTCAATGCATGTACAATAACTTTTAAAATATTAAATAAATTAAAGATTTTAAAACAAAACTGAACATTTAGTCTTTATCAATGTCAATCTATATGGTACTTTCTTGATTTTGCAGCCTGGAGGATAGGAAAAACATTTACAAATCCCCAGTTTAATAGTATGTAATTGAGCGTTAAGAGTTTTGTAGTAAATAGACAACAACATGCAAAAAAAAAAACTCATGTTCGCAGCTGTTCAGATGGAAGTGCAAATTTTAAGCTAACAGTCTCAATTTGTCCATCAAAATGCTCATTAAGCACAGAGGTCAAAGGTCAGCGCTGTAAATCTGCAGCAGCTGGAGGAAAGCTGTCAGTCATTTCACTCTTCAAGCCTCTTTATTATTTCAACAGGTTCTCATCGATTTGTTGTCCCACAACGTTTGAGCACATGGTTACTGATCTCCACTGTAGTGAAAACGTTGTCGTGGTCTGATGAATCATAATGACACAATAAATATTCATACAATTGGCCGGCTCATTATTGTTTGTCATTAGCTGTGGAAAATGTGCACAGAGTGACATTACACTCCATTAAGTGCTGTGAAAAGGCCTGCATGTTAAATACACTTGAACAGGTGACACCTATAAATAGCGCAGTTGAGTGTGTATAAGCTCGTGTGTGTGTGACGGTGGGGGAAGGCTGGGATTGGGTGGGGGAAATTCTGCCATGAAGCAAACACCATGCTGCTGACTCGTCCTATGACTCCAATACAATACAAGACACATTTATCAGGTGAGAATTAAGAAATTTAGGTTTAATCATGTCTGTTGTATTTCGCAAGCTCTCATATACAGAATGATATAAAGTTTATAAGACTATGTAATCGCTGGGGATCCTGGATCACCAATGTTAAATATGATGAACAGTAAGGACGTCAGGGTTTAAAGTGTCCTGAAAATGGAGCGGATAATAAATAAAGATCAAGAAAGAGAAAGCAGTTGATTTAAAAACAAAATTTGATCTCAGACCGCTGGTTGAATGTGTCTCTGTGACTACACACTGGTATACTCACAGAGACTCGATAGCTGTGTCCCAGTTCCACACTAAATTCTCAGCGTCCTGTCAGTCCAACATTTGTAACTTAACTTTACAACAAAATTTCAGGTCAAGATCAGTTGATTTCAGTGGAAACCCTGAAGTAAAGCAGAACTTTCACGTCTAGAAACAAAGATAAATCTTTACTTGAATAAAATGTGTGAAGTTAGTTCGGTTAGCAATCTATAGATTATTAGAGAGTGTTTAGAGAGTTTAAACAAGAGGAATTTTATTTTATTTTTATTTAACAATTAATGTGATTGCTTGTGCGGTTAGAAATTGAGGAACTGAATCGTGTGAAGTTGTGACTATGTGTACTCCTTTGATGTCAGAAGGATGGATGCAGCTGATGACGTGGATGAAGACGAACTTCTGGACTACAACGTGCAGATGAGCATTCAGGAGTCGTGTCAGAAAGAACATCTCTCAGGATCAGAGAGGTACCGCAACATGAACCAACTTCACCGTCCATATCAAAGTTTGAGATGGTTGCCTTTTTCAGAAATTACATTCATCTTCTCATTTGTGCATTCAGGAGTGAAGCTCTGAAGCTTGTTGAAGCCATCAAACAAGGTAAAAAGTAAAATCCTGGAGTTGTTAGTATTCCAAACTACCAAAAGTCAATAAAAAGTTGGATTTGTCAGTAAACATAAGTCCCTAGTCGATGAGACTGGCTGCAAGTGGATCCAAATACATATACAGCTCAATGTAGAAAATACAGAAGCTTCCTTTAAACTCACAAGCGGTGACTGAAGGATTCAATGAATGTGCATGGACTTCATGGTTATCAGATCTCAACCCAAATGAAAACACCTATGGTAGGAAACATATTTGACAGCACTGTCCACAACCATCATTTAAACACCAAATGAGGGAATGAGTCTTTGACAAGGAGCACTTAAGCTGTGATGAATAGTAATAGATGTAGTAATAGATGAATATCCTGGTTGTATAACTAAAATAACACCTACTAATGAAAGTATGGTTAGTAAATAATTACACAACTCTATCCAGACACATGGTATTTTTAAATAATGGGTATGATATAATGTGAAACAAAACTATTTCTGCTCCATTTAAAAGTGTAATTTGTTGTAATTTCTCATGCATTTCTCCCCCCCCCCCGAAACAGGCCTCAGACAGGAGGGTTTGCAATCGCTCATAGAGCCAACTTGTTTGCGACTGACACATCACTAGTACCAAATGAAGAGCTGTTTGGGAGCCGAAAGAGCTGGCTCTCAGTAAAAAAACAGAGCCATAAGATCCAACTCCCTTCAAAGAGCTGTAATTCCCTTCACTACTTTACAGCATAAAACCCAACTAAAGCTTTTATTGCAGGGGTGGTCAGCCATGCGTCACAGAGAGCCAACACCTTACCAGGTCATTTCTTTGATGTCTTCTTCCCCTCTACCTGAAAGAACACTAATCTGTGCGTGGAGTCTTTGGTGGGAATGAAAACCTGCCAACTGTTGGCTTTCCATGGCACATGGCTGCCCACAGACATCTTGTATCTGCTGTTGGCAGACGGTAAAAGGAGGGAAAGACTGATGAAAAAATTATTTTCAACATGTTTTCAAAGAGAGTGAAGGGCTGATGGGAAAAGTAGGAGAAGACAAGCATTAACTCTGGTGTGAGACGGAGATAATCTTTTGCTCTGTAGTAACAAAATCTACTGAAGAAAAAAAAAAAAAAAAAAGGTAAAAACTCACTGAGACTGTCCCTGCAGGTGACATGTTGGCACTACAGGAGCTCTGTGATTTCCCAGCAGCCTTCAGTCGGGTGGATGAGTGTGGCTGGTATCCTCTGCACAGGGCGGTGGTCCAGCCTCTGGTCCTGGTCCTGGAGACTGTGCTGTACGGTGGGTAAGACGTCAAACCTTTTCTTTCGCATGACAGTCAGAAGTGATTATGGACAAGAAAGTGACACTAATAGTATTAAAACTGTAGGTGGTGATGGTGTAGTGGATAAGACACATGCCTTTGGTGTGCGAGACCTGGGTTCAATCCCCCCACTGTGACCCATATACCAATGTGTCCTTGAGCAAAACACTTAACCCCTGTTGCTCCAGAGGCGTGCGACCTGACATGTATAGCAATTGTAAGTCGCTTTGGATAAAAGTGTCAGATAAATGTAATGTCTAATAATGTATAATCACTGTAGGAGATTAATAGCTCAGCATTATTTTTTGATATATATTTCACTCATTTAGCTGACGCTCTTATCCAAAGCGACTTACATTTGCTATACATGTCAGACGTCGCACGCCTCTGGAGCAACGAGGGGTCAAGTGTCCACATTAGTGGATGGTCGCAATGGGAATTAAACCCGGATCTCTCACACCAAAGACGTGTCTTAACCACTGCAACCTCGCCACCCACCCAATTGTTTGTAACAAAGTGTAACCTTTGCTGTCTTTAACGTGCTGTGAATCACAGCTGAGCTGACAGAGGTGCTCTCAATCACCAGTAAGTGGTGCTCCACGGCTAAAAGCTAGTGTCTGGTTCATGACTATGGTGATTCAGTTCAGTTTCAAGATTCTGGACTGAACACCTTTTACACCTAAAAAAGTAGAGTAATCCATCTAGCTGGTTTGGTTCTTGGTTACTCTTTAAATAGTCTTACAATAAATTATCAAAAGTAATTAAAACACAACTTATTTAAAGAGGTGGTATTCTGCTTTTATGCTTTTCCCCTCCTCTCCTTTATTGAGTTATATACCTTTCGTGCATGTAACAGGTTTGCAAAGTGAAAAAGTCCACCCCAAAGGGAGTTCCCATCTCCCACAGAAAACTCTTCTCTGCACTGTCTGAAAACAGCTCGTTTATAGTCCAGCCGTTTTCCTGTGACAACACAGGGATGAAAGCAAAATGAGCCTCATAACGCTCGCCAAGCGGCTAGTCCGACACGCTCTCAAAAACACAGGTGGAAAAACACTGAGCTGCAGCACACAGCTCTCCTCTCCCTTCCAAACACTAGCTACCCTCCAGGCAGTCAGTGGACATAAAGTTGTTCCTGTGATGTAGAGACAGAGCTCAGTTAAAACTTTATGGATGAAAGATAATTTTGTTACAGATTAATAACTCACCGCTCTGAAACTCTCGCTCCAGTCCATGTTGCCAAGCTGGTCGGCAACACGTACAGCTGAACCGAAGCTGTTTACCGGCTTCTCGCTGACCCGCCCTTCTCTGCTTCTGATTGGCTAGTAGTCCTTAAATAGGAGCTGCGTATGTGCAACTCCCAACAAAGATAATTTAGAGACAAGATGTATCACTCTATAGCTAAAACAAAGCCTTGGATTTTTTCCTTTACTTTGGACTCAAACCAGAGGTGATGTGATTTCATGGTCAGCATCTTAAACCTCAGGGCCACCAGAATACTCCAAATGAGTTGCAAACTGCTTCCTGTGTATTGTTCATGTTGCCTGATATTGTCAGCATGTGCATCATCTGCCTCGGCATGTGTCATGAGAATGATTGTTGACTCTCCTGTCTGAGCTGAATTCACTAAAGTAAGTTTAATTTTTTGTTCTGTGCTTCAGCGTCTTTCAATCTGACTCTGGAAGAAAAGACTTCGGATGGTGAGACCTTCCTGACTTTAGCAGTGAAAGCTGGTTTGGTGGAAAATGTAAAGATGCTGCTGGATCACGGAGCTTCTCCTCACACCACCAACAGCAAGAACGAATCCGCTCTGCTTTTAGGTCTGGTATATTCTATCCTTCACAGCCGACATAAAGTGACGCCCAAGAGAAAATGTTTTGTCCATCCTCAACATCAGTTCCTCATCCTCTCATGTCCCCCCCCTGTAGCAGTCAGAGCTGGATCTTATCAGATGGTTTCCGGTCTAATAGCTGGAGGAGCTCAGGTGGAGCAGGTGTGCCTGAAGAAGTGGACGGCCATGCACGAGGCCTCCAGGGTTGGCTGTGCTCATGTTGTGGAGCTGCTGTTACAGAACGGAGGTCAGGTTTCAGAGACAGACCAGCATGGAGTGACTCCTCTGGGCATCGCTGCGGAGTACAGCCACCCTGAAGTCCTGGAGCTCCTCATCAAACACGGTGAACAGATAACCATACATTAAAATAAATGTAATAATAATATTTAACAAGAATGCATTGAGTGACTGTGCCATTTAAAAGGGTTCACTTGTAGTTCTGTTCGCACAAAAAATTATCACCAACTCTCTTTAAAACTCGTGCAGACTACATGATTTTCTGCGTCGGCCGTTCGCCGTGCTGTTCAGACTACACAACTTGCCGTCTTGTGATGGGAATCTTGAAGTTGTTGTGGCGTTCACACTACATGACTAATAGTAGACGACTGTCACCCGACGGCTGGTGTATATATAACCATTATTAACCAAATATAACCATTTGCCCAGGCAGAGAAGGACCAATGATGACGAGTATAACCAGTGTCCCTAGATTCCTAAAGCTACTAATAAAGCACCGATATGCTTTACAATAATGCAAAGTAAAAAAACAAGCAATGCTCAAACAAAAGAGCGCCCAACACTTGGTGCACTATCACACTATGTGATTTACAAAGGGTCGAACTGATTGAAGCCACTTAGACAGGCAACAGACAGAAACAGGAAATACAAACACTCTAGATATTCACTACCTAACAGAGGTACACAACCAACAGCAAGACGAACTGATCGCTGGCTCAGTCGCTCCAAACTGTGGACACACAAACTATTTGTAGTCCAGCTGGTGTTGATTGGAGAGTCCTGGTTGGCAGGGTCGGTCGAGTCACAGCCACACCAATCACAGACGCCAGAGAACAGCAACCAGGAAATAGGCGGTCGCAGCTCGAGAGGAACCAATCCTCGACAGGGACTCACACAGCTGGGATTTGCATGACAGCCAGAAGCACTCAGGAACACAATTACTTTAAGGCAGCCAGAGGTGGCTGTAACACTTGCAGTTAAATAAATGCAAATGCCTTTGGAAAGGTTTATTTTCAAATTAAAGGAAACATGCAGTGCAATTAAAATATAGAAGAAACAAATGTGCATTGTCCAAAAAAAGTAACTTAAGCCAAAAAAAACAAGCTACTGATTATAAAATGGCCCAGAGTGCATCAGTAACAACTTCTCGACACAGTTTCTTTTTGGCCAAGTTTTCCGTTCTCTCCCTTTGAACATGACAAAAGAGGAGGGAAGACTAAATCATGCTTACATATGTGTTGCCTCAGCAGGGATGATATTACAGGAGAACTGTTAATCTATAGGAGAAACCGACCGGATGTCTATGTAGCTCCTACGAGTCGGCCAGCAGACCGCAAAGAAGGCCGTGTGTTCCAAAACGCAATAATCAAGATGGTGACCAGTCACAAATCAGATGATTTTTGGACTTAAAACGGCGAAAACAGGAAAAGTAATTCAGCGGTTTTGACGATCGTGTGCTGCCCCTCGGTACCAGGGGCGTCGGTTTTCAACCGGCAATGTTTAACGATATTTTCGTCTCGTTCTCGTGAACCTAATATCGCGACTTGTGATGTCTCACAAGCTAATGTCTCTTCACGCCCCTAATCGGAGCCCCTATGTCCTCGCCGCTGTTTAACACAACGTGACGCCCTTGTATATCTTAAAACCATCTTTGTACCTCTGCTCCAAATTATATCTTTTCGGCTTTTACATTTTAGGTGCTGATGTAAACGCCCAGGCGCCAAATGGCGACAGCGTTCTGTACGACGCTGCAGGTTCGGGAAATCCAGACTGCATCGACATCTTGCTGCAGCATGGAGCAAATCCCAACATCCACAACCTGAGCTTCCAGCTGCCAATCCACCATGCTGCTTACGAAGGACACTACCTGTGAGTAGGTAGATGACAACGTGATCCACAAAGCTTGTTCGTTAAGAAAAACGAAAGCTGGGCTAGTGTTGGTCTGAACCAATTCAGGAAACTGGATCAGAAAGAAGACTGAAGGGCTAAACATCTCTGACTGGTCGAACACAGATGCTGCAGTTACAACCTGTGTAGGCTTCATTCAAAAAAAGGAACTACTAGTGTTACAGTATAGTATTGTTATAAATTATAAAGAATATGGTCTAGACCTGCTCTATATGAAGTGCCTTGAGATAAGGATACTATATAAATGATCAGACAGGTCAAATTTGATCCATAATTCCGCCTCCAAGAGAATATTTTAAGTTAAATGTCTGTCCAGCTTTCATGTAGGTCAGTTTCTGATGCTTTTAGAATGAGCTACGCCTTTTCTCCATCAGAGCTTTGAGGATTTTGATCCCGATCACCACTAGGCGGGCCCTGCGGCTGTCCGGCCACAGCCCTGTCCACTCTGCTGCTGATGGAGGCCACGTCCACTGCCTGGAGCTCCTGCTGCAGAAAGGTTTTGATGTGAACGCGCTGTTAGCCCCTCACATTTCTGAAAATTATGGAGACATGAGGAGAAGCCCGCTGTACTTTGCTGTCTCCAACGGGGATGCAACCTGTACTGAGATTCTGCTGAAGTCAGGAGCCAAACCTGACCTGGACCCGCTGTGCTGCCTCCTTGTAGCGGTCAGGTCAGGGCGCTATGAGATCGTGAAGCTGCTGCTGGCGGCCAAGGCAGACGTTAACTGTTACTTCACGGTGCTGAACAACACGGTATTCCCCACAGCGCTGCAGTACTGCCTGAGGGACGAGGTGATGATGAGGCTGCTGCTCAACAACGGCTACGATGCCGGGAAGTGTTTCTGTTGTAACCATGACGACGACTGGGAGGACCTGAGCGAGTCTGATTACTCACAAAATCAGGAGGAAAAAGTTGCTGTGAGTTTTACTGTCACTTCAGTACCCTGCAGCTGTTCATTGAATGTGTCAGATTCATTGATTAATATTTCATTTTGTTGAAGGTACCGGCTGTGAACGTTAATTGAAAGTGTAGTGTTTCTGCTTCACAGCCAACAAAACATGATCAGGCATCTTTTAATTGTATTTTAGCATAAATCTAATAAGATTCAAATAGGGGATACTGGATTTGAAACAGGACAGACACTAACGAGGAGGAGGCATAGCCAGTGGAATTTATCAAAAGAAACAGATGAAAACTTACAGGTGAGCAGTCTGAGATGCAGAAACAATATTACCAAATTACATAAATCCACAAAACACTGGTAAGACACAAAATGTAGCAACTGGGTAAACGTTAATGAAAAAAGTGACAGTCAGACAACCACTTATATACACAGGTGGGGAGAACGTGGCACAGGTGATACACATAAGATAATCAGGCAGGAAGTAAGACAAGACAATGACACCAAGGACAGAACAACTTCAAAGTAAAACAGGAAACATGACAAATGAACAAATAAGGAACACACAACACAGAGATGAGTCAACATAGAGACAGGGAATGAAACACACCAAGACATAAGAGGAAGGCGTTACCAAAACCAACAACAGCAAAATCCAAAACAATTCTTTCCTAAATTGATCTCACAAGATATTTTTACATCAATAAATGTGCGAAAGCTCTTTTTTGTCATTTCTAACAGCAGTTAGACAAAATGACCTTGACTGAAGGTCCACTTGCTAGTTGTTTTTTTTTGCACATTTCTTCCCTGACAGATTAGTCAAAATAAATTGTTTTGTCTGATACGTACAAAACGGAGCAGAGCATGTGTCTCCATCAGAGTTTTTTAAAAAAACTTCATGCAGAAACAAAAGTACAAGCATCTATAATTTTTGGGGTACTGTATCTTTGGCAAATAGGAGTGAATTATCACACGGACACTTAGTTAAATTGCTCATGTAAGTGTTACCTTCTCTACAGTTGCATCGAAACAGAAAAACTACCTGTCCGTGTGAAATGAATGTCATTTGTCGTCCAGTTTTGCGATTTCATCAGCGTCTCCTGGCTGGTGAACCTGGTGGGCCGAGTCGTGTCGATCCTCCTTGAATATGTGGGTCAGGTTTGTCTTTGCAGCAAGCTGACAAAGATCCTGGAGAACCAGAAGGAGTGGCCTCACATTCACAGGACCATGCGTGAGTTAACTGTGTGGTAAAAACAATCAGGTTAAGAGGCTGCAATTTTGGTTTAACTGCTGTTCTCCTGTGATCCAGGTAACCCTCGCTCTCTGTCGCACCTGAGCAGAGTGGTGATCAGGAAACACCTGAGCTGCAGCGGTCTGATGTCCGTCCAGCTTCCCAATAGGCTGAAGGACTACCTGCTGTTCAAAGAGAACGACCTGTACGCCAAAATCATCTGCAGGGAGGACTGAAGGGACGACGATTTCTATCTTATATTGAGTCTTAAATGTCAGTGATGACTCTTCTTGTTTTTTGTTTGTTTCCTTTTGTGTTTTATCTAACAGGGCCTGTACTTCTCAAACTGCTACAAATTACACTTGAGAAAGCCCCAAGGAGCCAACATAGGAGACACCTTTAAGAGCAACTTTCAAGTGATCACATGATTGATCACATGTAAGCAGGAATAGCCAAATAGGGGCAAGGACCGTGTCCTAAATCCATTCAGCATACTAATTCAAAGCAGGTTTTTAGTATAGTGTGTTCACACTGGAAAAGTAACAATGAATTTTACTAAGACCAGTCATACGGTTGATACGTTTCTTTCTACTGCAACTCACAAAGGAAATGGAGGCGCTTATCACAGCTGGAAAAAAAAAATCATAAATTAGGGATGGCAGTGAATAAGTTCAAAAGGATATTAGAAAACAAGAGTATTAAATCTTTAGAAAGACATTTTGCTTTCTGTTTGTGAAGTTTAACTGTCAGTGACACTCCAAAGACACAATTTAATGTGTCTAATGTCAAATTTATAGTATAAAGTATATTGTTTTTTTTGGTATACTGCTAAACAATATGACTATTTGTATGTATATACTGTTGACAATTACTATGTGTTGTAATAGAATGAAGGATTTGCCCTGTTTTTCATTCTTACATTTTACTCTTTTTTTTTTCTACAAAAAAATCTAATTTTACATATCAAAAAAGTAAATTTTATTTGTGTGAAATCTTTCATATCTTTAATAGCAAGTAACACAAGAAAAGAACAAAATTTAATATATTTAAAAAGCATAAATATAAAAGTAGACTAGGACTTTGTTTTGGAAAGTCGCTCTAGAACAGGAGCACCTTCAATCTGAAAAGGGTGTGCACAATCTTGCTTAGGCTTTGAGGTACGTTTTCTCTTGTTTGGTGGGTGTGTCAGATATGTTACCCAATCAGCAGCCACGTGTACATAACAACAGGGTGTTCAAGGCCCCAGCGTTTCTGTTTTTAATACACGCTTTGTTACATTTCGTAGTCAAACGCTCTACTTATATCTTTCACTCAAGTCCACAATTTTAGCAGTTTGATGAATACAGGCCCAGATCTGTACTGTGTGAACTCAAGTGTTGGAGAAAGTGTAATCTTAGCTTAACTGTTTGTGGAAATATAACAGACCAGGTGTTGTTCAGACCACTACATAACCAAAAGCAGGAAGGCCTCATGAAAACTGTAAATAAAAACAGGCATCTACATAATGTCAGAGGATCAAGTAGAATCTGTCACTAATTCATTCCAGTTGCTTCCCCTCTGCTGTTGTTTTGAGTCAGTAAAACTTACTTGAGATTAAAAGCCTCCCAGTGTTTCATACTCCCTACTGTTCCTTGTTGACTGGGAGAATTACCCACAATGCAACTCAACAACCAACACTTTGTTTGGAGATTTGCGCTTGAAATGCTAGTTGTGGCTAATGTAGCCTTATCACATAAATGTTGAAAATGTTTGAATTGCAGTGCAGAGGATCTGTTGTTACAGTGTGTGTGTGAGAAAAGAACTAGCCTAAAGCGGAGATGAGGAGCATGCCACAGAGGTCTGGTAAATTCACTTCTTTCAAACTCCACACCAACAGATTTGGTTTTTTGTTTTTTTTTAAACCGATGCTGACTCGAGGGACATCACTTGAGGGAATTTATCAGATTTAGATAAAAAAAAACAGCAAAGTAGTTTGTGATTAGAATTAATCAGTGAATAAAAACAGTATTAGTGTTAAACAGATAAGGTGTTTGTGTAGTGTGTATGACATCACTGATACTGGTACTGAGTGCTGTGGAAATGTACTTACATGTAATTATACTGAATTTGTATCAACAGCTAATTGAAAACAGGAGCAGATCAGAAAACAGGGAGGGTTCTTACGAAAAATATGATCAAATATACTTATAAAACGGGTGAAATTAGAAAAAGGCCAGTCTCTAATATAAGCCTGTTTCAAATAAAGGTGGAGTGGAGGTAAATAAAGGTCCCGGCTATAATTTAAGAATAATCAGTATTGAGAAATAAATTTCTGCTGTCACATTTCTAACAGTTGTGCTGCATCTGTACTGTATTTAATTAAACTTGTGTTATTGTGATACATTGCCTCTAAACTGACTATAATATTTTGGGCCAATCCGTGTGTGTGTTTGATGTGGAAACATTTAAGTTTGACGTGTTTGTTTCGTTACATAAAAAGTCACTAAAATTCATACTCTGGGTACCATGAATGTCCGAACCAAATCTTGTGAAAATCTAATAGCTGGTGAGAGATTTCAGTCTGGATCCAAGTGATGGACTGACAAAATGACTTTGTCTTGCCAGAGAGAAGTTGGGTTTTCCCCCATCTCGTGGCCATTAGAGGAACTGCAGCTGAACGACCTTCAGCCCTGAAAGTAACAATTGTGCAGCACAACAATACAAACTGACAGTAAACACAGTCAGGAGGTGTGAGCTGCTTCCTGTCTGTAACACACAGTGAAAGCAGGTCTAAATTTAACCCCCTGACCTGCAAAAACAACAACAAACACAACGTGGCTCCACATTCTGGCAGGTCACCCGAGAACCTGATAACAAGAAGAGGTCACGTTGTTTTGAATGACCTCCAAACTGTTGACACCTTCTGAAAAGCAGCTGTAACCAGCAAGTGTGTTAATGTCCTAAAACAAAACACAGACAAATTAAATAAAACATGTTATGTAAGTAACATATCTCAGGATTTTCAGGTAACATGACTCCATCCAGCAGCCATGACTGTGTTAAAATCAACAAAGGTTAGAGCAGGTTAGAGCTAGAACGAGCTAAAAACACAACATCTGACATATTTATTACCTTGTAGTGTATATGTGGCTAACATATTGCCAATACATGAATATCCAGCAAACACACGATCATGTTGTTGTGTTTGTGTCCATTTGATGTATGTAAGTCCAATATGCACACACCTTTTAGCTCGGGTTTGGTCTCCACCAACTCCTGAGAAAAATATCTGGGAATTTAGCTGCTAGATTTTAAACTTTCTTCACCAGCTAGTCTCTAACTGTGTCTTTCTGTTGTTTGAGGCTGGGCAGGGTAGTGTACAGTGGGTTTATCACAGCTTCCTGCTGCTGCTAGAAACACTGGCACTAAACCAGCCGGTAAGCTTAAGTTAAACTAAAAGTAGGAGCTAAAAGAAGCTAAAAGGCTCATTGGGGCTGCAAAGTTGGTGACAATTCTCTGTGCATTCATCTTTACTTTATAAGTGACACCTTTCGCATTGCACATTGTCCTTTGAGCCATTGTTGAAATAAAAATATTGATTAGTGTAGCTTTAAAAAACACAAACATTACAGTAGTAATATAAACAATAATGTTTGCTTTGAGTTTTGGGACTTATGGTGCGTTCCATTTACTTGGGAGGTCGGAGCTACGAATGACGTCACGCCCGAGTTGACCACGTTCCAGTTACACGTCGGAAAACCTCGCTCGGCCAGCTGTTGTTCACATATAGCCAGGTTAGCCATTGTTACCAACGCTGGTTGATAAAAACGCATTAAGAGGTATTCATGCGTACTAAACACAGTAGCAACACGTCCACAGAGAGCAGTTGGACAGGACTTATATGAGACACAAACACACAGAAGTGCAAATAAACATTACAGACTACAGCTTTCACTAACTGTTGAAACACGGAGCAGCCATCTTGGATCACAAAGTTGGGGGTAAAGCAAAGGAAATCCGATTTAAAAGGGGCGTTCCAGATGAAATCTCCAACTGGGAACTGGGAATTCTGACACGCACCATTATTCCAAAGAATCACGGATATGTGTAATTCATAAACAAATAAATAAAGATAGATAAACAGATGATAAATTATCTCTGTGCATTTATAGAAATTACCTGAAACCAACCTAGGAAGGAAGGAAATGAATCTAAAAACGAATGAATATCAAATAAATATTAATCAGTTTGCTCATTTGTTTTGTAACTGAAACTGTTTCCATTCCCAGTCTGGACTGCACAGCTGGATGACTGATGCTAATCTGCAATAATCCAGGTCAAGGGTCAAATTTACAGCAGATTTAGGATGAGAGCGGTTTTATGTCACTCGCGTAACATTCCACAAGTGCCAAGCAGCTCACTAAACATGCTCAGTGATGGATGCATGTTGTTGTTACTGAGCTGTGATGATTGTCTTGGCAACCAAACAACAAACTACCCTCCCCTCAAAAAAACTTGGGGTCAGTCCTACACATTCATACAAATGTTACTTGTGTGACGAGTACAGGGGTGGACACAATAATGACAACACCTATGCTATATGGTAGGATTCATTACAACAGCTCTGCAGCTAATAAAAAGGATTAAAAAGGTTTAGTTCGACTTGAGGTTGCAGTTATTGGTGTTTTTTCTGTTATAATGTACAAGAGTTATTTTAATTGTGTCCAGCAAAATACAACAATAATCTACAGATTTGACATTATGTAAATTTACCACGGGTTTGAAATTGCTTTTCTTTCAAATAACATGTTTTATAGACTGAAATCTGGGGCTGGTCCATCAAGTTAATACTACTCACTAAAAAGTAGTTAGATGTGGTCAAGAAACTCGAGCAGAGTGGAGACTACAGACAAAAACAACCAGAATAGTTCCAACAATCATGGCCCTTAAATTTAAATAAAGTTTTACCAAAGACTGGATTCCTGTGCCGCCTCTGGACATCATCATGATTAGATTTTATCTTTTTAAAGTTTTATTCGTATTGTAGAGTTCATTTTTGACCTTGGGAACAGCAGTTGACCAAACAATCTCACCTCACTTTCAGAATTTCTTGTTTATGTTGCCTCAAAAGTTGAGTTTCAAAGTTTATTATTGATGAACAGCCACTAAATAGATTTTAAGGTGAGGTTGTTTTATGTCTTGTACTTTAGTTTTTATCTGAGCTGCACTAAGACAAGTCATTTTATAACAGTTGTTAACCTTTATTGACTGATAAGGTTTGAATGTGAACTGATAAGGTTTGAATGTGACATGACAGATTGTGGAGATAAGAACCAGCCACCACTTTGTTTCTGTTCCAGCAAACGGCCATAACAAAGTTGGAGATGTACTGTGCATAATCCCACCATCCTCAGGGAGAACAAGTGTTTCCCTGCAACTGGATTGTTCCCTGACAACGCGTGTTTCTGTGTCCTGACATATTGCGTAACACCACAGAGTTGCATCTCTGGTGTCTCCCCACAGCATTTTGCTTCCTTCGTTTCTTTCGAGTTGCTGGTGAGCTCTCGGCACAGGCCACTCAGAGGGCTCACATTCCTGCAGTAAGCCTATCTCATTGACCCCCCCACCCAACACCCTAAAAAAAGACAGGACCATCAGCAGCATGGTAACCCTCCCCTTTCTCCCTGTCAGGCAACTTTGGTAGTTTGGATCAGTAGATGAACGAGGACTCTGATATGGCACCTGTATCCCTGGTCTGAAGGGATCTGATGGAGGACAAACCATCGAGCAAAAGCAGATTCAGTTAAGACATTTAAGTGTTCATAGAGTCCTGAAACGAGCGCAGAACCATGAGTACCTTTGGCTACCGCAGGGAGCTGAAGAAGTACGAGGAGGTGGACGAAGACGAGCTGCTGGCCACTCTGTCCTCCGAGGAGCTCCAGGAGCTGGAGAGGGAGCTGGTCGACCTGGATGACAACGTCCCCATCGGCCTGAGGCAGAAAGACCAGACCGGCAAAACTCCATCAGGGACCTTCGACAGGGACGCTCTGCAGAAATACTGGGAGGATGAAAACAAGAAGCTGCTGGAGGACCAAAGGATGGAGTCCAACGTCAGACAGGTAAGAAGGGACATCAATACTCTGTCGGCACACTTAGAGGATCATAACTGCATGTTTTAACTACCAAGAGAGTCTTTCTGCCTGAAGTTGTTTTTGTTTTAGGAAAGCAGAGATTGTTTTCAAAACTCTACTTTTGGGTGCCGTAAAGGATGCACCGACATCTGAGTTTTTAGAAACTACCAAATTCACTTTTCACAACATCCATGTTTGTTTATTATCTTCAGGGTTTGATTTAAAATGGTCCCTGCTTGCACCTGCATTCACCACATAATGATCCGTAACTGTGACAGTAAAAAAAAGTTGACTACATTTTGGATGTGACGGATTGTCTCTTTGCAGCAAGTTTCAAGTCACTTCAGGTTGATTTTAATAGAAATCTGAAACCACTGGCTGCCTGGAGGGCTGGAAATCAATCTAAAACTTTGGAAAAGGAGCAGCAGTTTATGTCAGTAATGCAAAGAGACAGGAGTATCTTTAGTTTTAATTTGAGAAATTTGAATGACATGCCACTATAAAAATGACAGTCTGTTAAAAGGAACACTGTCTGACACTACAGTAGCTCAACAGCTAAAGTCAAATAAACTCATTTACATTTTATTGATTAATTTAATTGACATCTTTAAAAGTGCAGTAATCAATATTTCTACATCCACAATTGATGAACAACTACACTAATCTCTTTGCAATTCTCCAGACCTCCAGCAGTTGATTTCTGTTTGACAGAAATGATAGGGGGCATGGCCCAGATCAAAGAGAATGTAATGCTGACTTGTACTTTGTAGGTCAGTTGGACTACAACGCAAAATCACAGATTGTTTTGTTTGTTTTTATTTTAATTACTTGATTTTCTCTTAAAAAAGAAAAAAAAAATCCCTGACGATGTCATAGTGATGTCATCAGGGTTATCTCAGCTTGGGCTTGGAGAATACAAATGTATAACTATCTGCATTACAGACTGGAGGTGTGGAGTTTGAAAGAATATCCGTTCTTTTTGTTAATCAATTAAATTTTATTTATAAAGCGCCACTTCATAACAAAAGTCATCCAGTGTTTCGCCTAGGATGGAGTTATAGCAGCGGAGGTGAAGCAAAATTTTTGTAATTTGAATATAAAACCCCAACACAACATGTCTCAGCAGTATTGTTCTTGTGTCCTTGACAATGCAATGCACATCAGAATAGTTTAAAACTTCAGTGTTTACCCATTTTAATGTGTCCTTTAGCTAAATGTTTTGGTGTTGGTGGTCATGGTCAGGGTGGTGGGGGGTTTGGGGGTCCTCCCCCGAGAAAACTTTACATTTTCCAATGACAAATATGTAATTTCACATCATATCGGGCCATTAGTTTCACCATATGTCTGAACAAAGAGTTGGAAAAGCTAGAGCAGATAATAAATAACCAACAGTAAAAGATGAGTCTACTGGGGAGGAACTACACCCTTTAGATTTGGGGAAAGTTATTTAGTTGGTTATGACGCTCTCCACAGTGATTTAACATTTATTGCACAGTTTTGGGCCTCACCCCCTAAAACCCTGTTAATATGACCTCAGAATCGTTATAGATACGATTGTTCATGTTTGCCTTTTGTGTGCAACATGAGAAACCTCCTCCCTTCTGAGGTGCATTTTATTTGCACATTAAAATCCAAAAAGAAACGTCTCCTCATTAGCTTATAAGGACTAGTTTGCATCACTAATTAGCTTTACTAACCTCAGCTCCTCCGGTCACCTCCGTCCTTTCTTTTCCCAACAACCACTCTTTCATCTAAAAAATAATTGAACCAGTCTGTACAGGACAGAGCTGCAGGCTACACCATTTTACTCTCAGATTGTAACTGATGTTCTCAACATTGGACAAGTAGGAATAAATAAAATACAGCTACCAGTTACTTTCTATAAATTGAGGTAATGTTAAGTTACATAGCAGCCAAAAGACGCAGTTTGCTGTTGAAGCTTTCCTGCTCAGCTCAGTCTGAAGTGGGGTGGAGATGTTAGCTAACTTGGCGCTAACAGGCTTCACTTTTTCAGCAGGTGGGGAAACAACAGACTTTGACAGAGGCCAAAAAAAATCCATTATTTTAAGAGGCAGAAACCTTGAGAAGAACTATGACTCAACAAATTTTAATAGTTTTTAGAAGTCCTCCAACTTTGAGGAAGATCAATACTAAATTCACTGCAGGTCATTCGGATTCACATTGCTGAATTCACATACAAATTACAATATCAAGTCATACTCGTGCATATTTGGTCAAAAATCAAATGTGGTTTTCATACGAAGCCTTTTAGTTTATGTCGTCCTCTATCATTTCAGATGCAAGTTTTTCAATTGTTCAAACATAAACCCACTGGTATGATATATATAATGATGTAGTGTGTAATGTGTTGCTGAAAAACAGTCTTAAAATAAAGAGTCTGAGTCTGGAAAATGTCAGCTTCATGTCTGCCAGTGTTGTTGAGGGTTCTTAATTAAAAGTCAGAGGCCGGAGAATGTCAGGGTTCGACCTTATTTTCTGTCCTGTTATCGTGTGCAGGAGGTACGCCCAGATAAGAGCAGGGGGGAGCCAGTGACTGTTACCACCAGCGACGGCGGCAAGACTCTTGACAGCGACAGGAAGAAGATTTCGCAAAAGGGGAAGAAAGGTGCCTTTAGCAAAAATGATGCGAAGAAAGATGAGGCGGAAAAGAAAGACGAGTGTAAAAAGGAGGCTCCTATAAGGAGTAAATGTCCTCAGAAGAAAAGTCTGTCCAAAGGCTTGAAGAGTGAATCGAGGAGGACTGAAACCACAGACAAAAACCTGGATGCAAACTCTGACAGACCTAGCGGGAACCCGATAATCATCGACGAAACTCTGGAGCAGATCTTGTGTGATGACCCTACCGTGATCGAAGTCAACCTCAACAACATTGAAGATATTACCCAGGAAACCTTGCTTCGTTTCGCAGAGGCCCTGTGCACAAATACTCATGTCCACGTTTTCAGCCTCGCCAACACCCACGCCGACGACCGGGTGGCCTTCGCCATCTCCAAGATGCTCCGTGAGAACCGCTTCATTAGAAACCTGAACATCGAGTCCAACTTTGTGTCGGGTCAGGGCATCCTGGCTCTGCTGGCGGCGCTGCAGCACAACAGGACACTAGTGGAGCTTCGCTTTCACAACCAGAGGCACATCTGCGGGGGGAAGGTGGAGATGGAGATGGTCCAGCTGCTGAGGGAAAACACCACTCTGCTCAAGCTCGGTTACCAGTTTGACCTCCCGGGACCGCGGATGACAGCGACCGGCATCCTGACGCGCAACCAGGACCAACAGCGACAGAAGAGGCTCCAACAGAAGAAGGAAGAGAGTCCTCCAGAGGTGTCAGGACAAGGTTCTGGTTCATCTGCAGAAAACAGACCACCAAATAAGCCATCACAATGTTCTAAGACTGCTCAGAATCAAAACAGAAATCCTCCTCCTCCATCTCTAGACCCGCCGACAAGGAAGATCGCCGAAATGGTCAAACAGCACGAAGGCTCGAACGGCACGAAGAGTCAGTCAAACCAAAGAAAACCCAAGTCAAAGAAGCTCAAGAACGGCGCCAACGAAAAAGAGAGCACAGACATTCTTAAAGACCTGAAGAACGCCTTGAAGCCATCACCGCAGAAGAGACGAGACGAATCGTCACTCCTGCCACCCCCGCAGAGGTCGAGCCGCGACGACCTGATGGCGGCAATTCGTGGGAGCAGCATCAGGTCCTTAAAAAGGGTAAGACTTCCTGTGAGTCTGTCCGGCTGATCTACGTTCGAGGTTTGAAGGAAGCATCAGAGACATAATTTAGCCTCCAAAAGCCATTAGACCCCCTCAGTGCTGTCATCAGGCACCTCTGTCACTCTCAAGTTATAAATAGCATTACTTCTTCACTGCTGTTTGATAAGACTGATGGCTCAGAGAGCTGCTGGGAAGAGGCTGAAAAAACAAACTGTTGTTCAGATTTCCACTGAGTTCAGAGAGCTTTAAACACAAGTGGTTTACACGATAGGAACAAATATTAAGTATCATGATCAAATCTTTATCATGCTTTTGTGAAATGCATTAGGACAACAGCAGAATCTGAGTAACATGATTAAACCGTGACAATATAAATCTAAAGGAACACAATGAATCCTTCAAAAACAAGCCCTTACCGAAGATCTGGTGTTTTTAATCCCTTCAAGCCTTCAATGGAGACAGATAATAAACAGAGTAAAGAAGAAAATTCCATATAAAATAGAAAAGTACCCATTTGATCTTTGCTTTGATGGAAGTACAAACAAAAGCCTGGTGTCCTCAGGACAGTCCAGTCAGCTCCAGCTGCTCATTGGCTGACAGATCATAGTTAAATACCTCTGACTGTGTTTTGAAACATGATGTCTGAATGAAGAATTTTTTCTCTTGAACATCCATCCAGTCCTAAATCTGCTGTAACTTAACGTGTGTGTGATGTTTGTCATTTCAGGTGGATCTGTCACAGGCCTGAACTCACCTACCGCTCACAACTGTTCTCACTTTGTATTGAAATATTTCATTTTTATTTCACACTATTTCACTTTTTAACAGTATTTTACTTAACGTGTCACACAGCGTAGCAGCAGACTGCATTTGTTTCAGACACTACTGTTGTATTTTGTTACTGTGTGAAAGCTACTGTGAATACTGATGTGTAGAGAAATAAAGTTTATGTTCTGACTCAGCCTGCATGTTTTTCACAACGTGAACTCACGAAAAGGTTTTCTGACAGCTCTTTGTTGACACAGAAACAATGGTTTACATACATGTTTTCAAATCAGAATAATGTTCTTTTACATATTTTACAGATAAAAGTACTTTGGTTAAAAGTTGGCTTTGCTGTTTTTTTGTTTTCTGTCCAACATGTTGGTCCACGACAGGGTTTCTTCTGGTGGCTGGCTTTGTTGAAGCTTGTGTTGTGAATAAATGTGTTCTCACAAGACACTTTCTAGTTTTTATATAAAAAGTGACATATTTAGTAAAATTATTTTTCATCAAACAAGGCTGTTTCATTTTGTGATTCATTTTTCTCAGTTTGCAAAGCTGGACCCTGAATGATAGAAAAGCAGCAGCTTCGAACAACGATGGAGGCTTGTTTCTCTGCCGCTTATACTTGTGTCTCGCTTGTGTCTTCGCATTTTTCCATTATTTGACAGTAGGTGTGTTTCCATCCTCCTGTTTTTATGAACATTTACATTTTGCATATAAAAAAACCTGAATAGAAACACTGAATATATTATAAATTCATTGATATATATGCTGAAATTTTGCACACAATTTTTTTACGCTTGGCTGAGGTGAAAAAATGTGTTTTGATAAAAGTAAAAAGTGCAATGGAAACAGACTAAGCAAATAAATCACAACATAACTAGAGGCATTATGTTAACATAAGAGCAATGAGGAGACTGTAACCTTCCTTAAATTAGTACACAAAACAAACACAAATGCCATTTTCCCATCTATTCCAGCTCTTTTAACTACGCTGGTTGTGAACTCTTCTTCTGTAATTATATAATGGCACCTGACTGGAACATTAGTGCCCCCTACTGCTAATCTCGACAGATCAACTTCAAATATTTGCATAACAGGAGTGGATGGAAATACGGAAAATTTCAAATTTACTTACGCTGATTTCCGGAAAATTCTGTTCAGATTTGCACTACATTTAAACGGAAAACTGGCTATTAACAGCAGACATACAGGCAAGAAAAGAGGTTCAAGAGAGAGACTTACAACATCCAAATGTGCCCCAACCACTAGGCTGTCAGGATGTATCATTCAAAAAGTAGTTTACTTACGAAAATGTAAATCCCACATCAGACTCTTCTTGTTACACACAGCACCTCTTAAAGACAAAACTACAGTTCATTCAACAGCTTCTCATGTTGGTGACCTGATAGGAGGATCTACCCACTGTGTTTTCTAATACAGACCGCTCACAGAGGGATTAAACTCTACAACAAACTCACACAGAGAGCTGTTATGTGAGCCGCAGCTGCTGCCTACTGTCCATCAGCACACACAGAGTTGAAATACATGACAGAGATACAGACAGGCTTACACTGTAGGTGACAGATGAAGCACACTATAGCTAATTATTGGTTTATCTTGAAGGTTCTTTTTTTTTTTGCGAAAAGCAAACTGACTAAAATTAAATGTCAAAATTACCTCTCATCTAACTCTTTTGCTACAGGACACATACAAAATTCTTGTGTGCCTGGCTGAGCTGTACTTTTAGATTGACTAAAACATTGGAAAGTAAGGTTATAGCGAGATTTGCGAATGACTGATTGCCGTCAGTTATGAGCCGTTCAATTACAGGCGTGGACAATAAGGGATGTTATTCTGGAAGCTATAAAAAAAAATTATTAAGTTGCTTTGCAAAGGAATAATCGCCTGGTCTCCATGTGTAGCCCGTGAAATGAGATGCCACACAGGAAGCAATTACTTCAGGGGTTCTTGAAGCTCCAGGTTTATTTTAGACCACATGTGCAGGTCATTTGACAGAGTGGTAGGTTATGCTACTGAGTCTTTCACGTAACCAGCTCAAATGCTGAGTTTTGTAACAATCTCTAACAGCCAAAAATGTTTGGAGAAATAAAATAAAATTACAGTAGAAATATAGTAGAAATACAGCAGTGGGCTATGACTATCCGCAGAAAACATAAAATAAATTATTTTAACAACCATAAACCGTCTTACATCAACATCAGTGTATAAAATGTGCGACTGTAAATGACAATTACACTTCACCAAGTTCTACCAACTTCCCAGAGATCGCACAACTCTACGCACTTTCAGCGTCAATTACTTTCAAACAGAGTCACAATTACTGTAAACTGTAACATTTCTCAAGTAACAAAGTACAATATCACGGTGTGACTTTATGCACGTTAGCATTACCATGTCATTTAGTACACAGGTGTCGACGATTGGCGCCCAAAATCTCAGCACACAATTCCAGTAGTGCCTAAATCAAACCATCTTGTTAAATACTGACAGTTGATGCCATTTTATACACTTGTACGGGAATATTTTACAAGATATGCATGCATTTACCTACTAACGTTACTTTACATTACGAAGTCTCAGCACCAATCCCTCGTACGCCAAACAACAACCATTCTACTCAAAGCTGCCGCCTTGTGACCAAAGTCTGCCACCACATGTAAAACTGTGGAAATCCACTTACAATCTACTTCGCACAAACTGGACAATGTCACTCTCAAAACAAAACAACAAAAACACATGTATTTACATTACTCTACTTTTAGAAATATATTAAACCTAAGTGGAAAATCGCCTATGAATAGATTTACCACCCGGCTACACATGTACGTCTCCTCAAAGATTATTCTGTCCAAAAAAAAAATACCACGACACGTGCTGAGACTTTAGCTGAGATGTTAGCAGGCCAACATCCTAGCAAGCTAAATTTCAGCACAGCTGTCGTAGTTTAAGTACACACCGTTCACAATGCAGCATGAGGAACGTACAAATAATTTGGACACAGCAGTATCACTAAATAAGCATTATCATTCACAGTTATTACTTACTGGGATTACAAAAAGAAAATAGTTAGGAAGCTATTAGTTGGTTATATTTCTTATGTTCATGAGCTGTAATTACAGTACAGTGGTGTATCAGCTGGCAGAGAAACAGAAAAGATTCATATCCATCTGTCATTGAGTTATATATTAGTTTCTAATCCAGTGTGCTTACACACACACACAGTGTCACTAAAGTTCATTAAACAGCTGTTCAAAGTAAATATGGACGCCCCCCCCCCAACCCGAGAGTAGCAGGAGGGGAGTGAAGTCTGACTGAGTGACCTCTCATTACAACACTTCACATCTTTAATAAAATGCCACGTAAATGTTCAAGCTTAATTGGAGGAAAATGAAATCCTCCACTTACAGAGTGCTGAGAGACACTGTGGGATGTCTGTCTGAGGCAAGTTCTCTGCTGTAATACTCATTATAACATATATTCACATACATTTATCTTGCTTAAGTTCTGTGTCAGCAGAAGCAAACCACCAGCGGTTGAAGAACTTACATTGTGTTTGGCAGCGTAGCATCTTACAGTCTGAGCTCCAATCTCACACGGCACAAAAAACAACAGCTTCCAGATCTGGATGGAGTAGTGGCACATGCAACCATTCGGACGAAACCTGGAGCAACAAATGTGAGCAGAGATATTAGGATAAATATATTTAGACTGTGTGTGTGGGTGTGTATATGTTAGGGGTGGGAGGCAGGATTAAAATCTCCTGGCTAGGCATGAATTCCATATCTTGATTATCTTGAAGTATATATTATGACATCCTGAAAATGTAATTTATTCAGTAATATACAGTGTAATTTAACAGTATCTTAAGGCCATGACTTCTTCCATTCTTTTGCAAATTTGTCAGTAAAGAGAGAATAAAAATATTGTGTATAACATGGTGATGGTATTTCTGCAGAAAGTCTACATTGCATGACACATGTGGTTAACAAATAACAGGTGAATTATTACATTGATCCATTCTGCACAGTAAAACATCATGTTTTGTTAAAAAAATCTGAATTAATATAAATGCATTTTTAAAAAAAACGCATGCACTGAATTACTTAATGTGAAAAGTAATTGTGACATGTAAAAAAACAAAACAAGGTGAGATGAGGCTTTCTGTATATGATTTTGAGACTGTGCCAGTCTCACCAAAACCAGACATCAGTGTATTTTCCTCTGCGATGCATTAAACACCAGATTCTAAACTGTGGTGAGTCATTTCGCTCTCTCTTCCTTTCAACTGACTCTTTAACCAAACCTATATATTCCAGCGAGGAAGGTCTCCCACATCCTCCTCCCAGCTATGTTTCCCTGAGCTGAAGCCCTCAGAGCCATGAACATCCGGTCTACTTAGTGTTTCTCTCCAGATTGTTGGGGAGCTGTTGCTTTGTATCTCCAAATCTCACACTAGTCAGATCATCAGACATATAGAGCCAGCAGCCTATTGTCAGGACTGAAGTGGACTTTCCCCTCCACCTTCTCCCACACTCTGTAGGACAGGCGTTTGGCCACATCTATCAGCGTTCCTGAGACCATCTGCAGATCAATGAGAGCTGGACTTTGGTCTGAGCGGGTTTATAACTGCTGAGGAAAGACACTTTGTGCTACTGCAGATCTTCAGCAGAGATACTGTCTGACAGAGGGGAGATATCCCTTCTGCTCCTCTACATTCCTCAGAGCTGCCAGTCTGGACTCCTCTTCCTCTTTCAGGCACTGGCGAAAGCTTGTTGAACTCGGCTCTGAGCTGATTCTCTGCGGACAACAGCTTCGTTGTGTGTTTTATCCACTTGTTTGTACTTGTCCCTATTATCCTGTAGAGACTTTAGGTCAGATTTCAGCTGGTCCTTCAGGTCACCGACTGCTTGTTCAATAGGAACCACCTTGTGACTCCAGTGGCGAATCACCACCTCCAGCTTTTGCTCAGATGATCCAGCTTTCTCTCTATCATAGGATTCAGCCAGTTCCTTCAGTGCCAAGTTCACATCTTGATCGTCTCTTAGAGAATTTTCTTTTACAGATGGGACAGTTTTTGTTTTTAGCTTTTTCCCCAGAATATTTGCAGGCTGCTTGAACAGAAGCTGTGGCTGCAGCTGAGAGACACGGGATCTCTGAACGCCTCTGAGCGCAAAATTTTTAAGAACAGAACAGAGGAATTTGCAGGGTATTTTGTTGAGTTGAGTTTCTTCACCTTTCTAATTACAGTTTTCATTTAAAAAAAATCTTTCAGTTTAACTTTCCTCCTGGGGTGAAATATTAACAGCAGGACAGGCTGCCATGTCATTTTGTCACCAGAAGATGGTGTCACATGGTGCCCACATCCAACAGCAGAAGCACGGCCTGTTGGGAATTACTGCAGTGCACTGACTCATTAGAACAAGGAGAGGATTTTTCTTTAGTTCTCCAGAGAAGACTGCACATTACAGGACGACTGACACTAAAATAGCTTTTATTTTTTCAGCAAACAAAAATGTAACAGTTTTAACCCTCCCATTGTGTTCCAATAAAAATATGCTAATTACTTTCTTCTGTTATAAATATGTTCTTTTTAATCTGGCTTCTTGTTTTTCTCCATACTAGCAATTTATACATATATTATACCATATATATTATACATATAAATATATATATTTTACATTATATAAAATGGGTGATGACCATTTTCATTTATTTCTGATGGTTTAATTCAGTAACTTGATATATGAATACCATCACTTTTCTGCTTTCACACATTTCCTAAAACATACCAGGACTACCTGCTGGTCTTGTTGTAATTACCTGTATGTAGCTTTTATAATCATATTCTTCTTACACTACAGCAAAATTGAAGTACCTGACCAATGTTTCCTAGTGGTTTAAAGAAGACTTAAGTCATCTTCTATTCACCTCCTGCCTGTTTCACCACTGTGGGGTTTAGAGCCTTCAGCCGCTCTGCCCCTCGCACATCCGTAACACTGACTTGCTTTCCATTTTTAAATCCCGCGTGAAAATACACATTTTTAAACTGGCACATCCAACGTGATCGCCGTTCATCTGGTCACAGCAATCTTTTGTTTCCAATTGTTTATGTACCCTGATTTTATGCACGGTTATTTTAGTTCTTGTTTACTTTATTTTAGATTTATTGCTATACTGTTTTATTATGTTTTGTGAGGTGAACATACATTTAAAATGTGTTATTAGTATATTTATGTTTAATATTGTGTTTCATGTTTACACTGTACATTGTTCGAGAATGTGTGCCAGCATAGATTGAACAGGAATCTTGATGCTTATAATACCATTTATCTGAATCCTGCACCAAACAACCAGAAGCAGACAAAAAACAAGAGACACTTTTCTCTGTAAATATTAACATTTATTTAAGTATACAATTTAGTATTTTCATTGCGCCCCCCCCCACCCCTCTTCACAGGTTCTGTCAGTATCTCGGCTTCTCGATGCAGCATTAAGCCTCGCTGGAGGACGGTAAAAACGCTAAGACGAACAGTTAAATCGAGCGTTGGTTATTTCTTTACACCGTTTACAGACGGAGGATCACAGGCATTGCCAAACCCACAAGCTGCTTGATAATGCCACATTTGGTTCATTATTTGCTTTTTTAAATTATTTTTCCATTAAGGAGGCATTTACAGTCGCATTGCATAAAATTATAGTTTGTTAACTGAAGAGGATGAAAGTTTTTTTATTTATTTATTTAAATCTTTTAGTGCTTTGCGTGATGATATTTGTTTGAAATACTGATCAGACCACTGTTGTTTCCTACAGCTGGAAATAACGGAATGAAAAAAATCAATCAACCAGACATTAAGAAGAAAACTTTCATCATTTCACAAATGCCACAGTGTGAGTGAATGGGTGTGGACAAGTTTTTGTATTAAGCCAAAAAAAATAAAGTCACTAACTGAAACATCGTCACTCATGTTTGTACTCCTCTTTAAAGGTCACCTTTAGCTTTTAAAAGTGTCCACCTTCGCTGTGACCTGCTTGAAATAAAAAATAGGCTACAAATTATTTGACAAAACACACACCAGAAAAACACAAAACTGAACTATCATATAAACTGTGTGCAAATAAACGGCTTTAATTTCATAAAAAATAAAAGTTGAAAATCCACATGAGGCGACTGAGCCGCCGCCGCATTTTGGTCAAAGTATTTATGAAAAAATAACACGACTAAACTACGATTTATTAGGAAACTCGGAGGTACGAAAAGAAGCACGGTAAGAAAATAGTGTTATCTCGCATTTAAACCGACCACAGTCAAACACAAAGAGGATCCTGCCTGTTTGGTCACACGTACGTCTCCCTTTCAGTTTGTTTTTCCACGAGGAATGAAAACACGAAGAAATGAACACAAAAAAAATATTTCCCAAGGAGCACAAGAAGACCGCAATTCAGATTCCCCTCAGTGGTGCAGCTAGTGTTTATATTATTGATTATTGATAATGACATGACGCCGGCGGTGTCTCCACATTGTGCTGATGGCGGTGTTAAGTGCTTTTTTATGACAGACGTCCGGGGGAAAGTGTCTTTTAACGATGAGGGTGTGTAACGAACAACACAGATTTAACGGATGAGGTATTGCACAGATTAATTATAATGGTCATAAAAAAAACAAAAAAAAACAAAACAAAAAGGCAAAAATAAATATACAGCCAATTCATACAACATTTACAACATTTTAGTCAGATGCTGGAAGATTTTTAGAAGATATTTTAGTGTCAGCGGTAGGTGCGGAGGGACCGGGGTTGAGGAGAGAAATCTTCACTAGTCGTCCCACTCGTCGTCGTCTTCGAAGTCCTCGTCTTCGTCGTCATCCTCGTCTTCGTCTGGGGAAAAAAAAAAAAAAGACAGTGTGGAAATCGGGAGACTAACAACCGTTTCACAATAACAAGCCACAAGATGAACAGGAAATATAAACCCGACTGAGGAGTTCTGCTTTAAAGGAATAGTTTGCTTTCCTGCTGAGTTAGATGACGAGATCGATCTCACTCTCACGTCCTTCTGTTAAATATGAAGCTATAGGCAGAGGCCAGCTAACTGGAAACAGAGGGGAAACAGCAAGCCTGGCTCTGTTCAAAAGGAAATAAAATCCACCACGCAGCACATCAAAAGCTCACTAATAGAGACGCTGTCAAAGGTAATGGCCTACATATTAACGACAGGCTTACCTGAGGAATGGATGGCTTTGCTCCTCTTCTGCATCACCTCCATCAGAGCGCCGACAATGCCCGCGGTGGGAGCTGGCGTTGGAGGGCCGGACTCTGGATTATCTGGCACCTGGAGAGCCACAAAAACAGATCCGGTCCAGTTTGTTACAGATACAATGTTGTGTTTCTTTAAACATTTAAATCACAGGTATATTCACATACAGGAAATGAAAGCATCTTGCTGCCTCTAGCCCGCCACAAACACCCATTTATGGATTTTTAAGTGACATTTTGATTTTGACGATTGCTCATTAATCAGATCATAATATACACTTTTGTTCCATTTGTTTTCTGCCTTTGAATAAGACTGCAAACACAAAATGGTGCAGCTTAAAGTGAAATTCCTAAAAATGTTAATTAACCATCTGAACGCTTGATTTTTTTGGTACATTTTTAAAGCCTACGATTGTTTCCATTTTGGCAAATTTGCACCATGAAAAGTCTATTAGCTATAAGGAGTTCTTGTTTGCACTGTAACTACGCGGTGCAAATAAAGAAAACTTCCAAATGTGATGATCATGAGGCTGAAGATCTGATCGACTGACTCTAAGAAGAGAGTGTGATATCTATCACATCTATGACGTGGGATATCGTGATCGTCTTACGGTCTTGAGCTGGATTCCCTGTCGGATCTGGTCCAGCAGGGCGTCCCGTCCAATCCCGGAAGCCGGCGCTCGGTGGTTCTGCTCCACCTTCTTCAGCTGGGCTCCTCCTCTAATCTGCTCCAGCAGTGCCGACTTCCCGCCGGGACTTGGCGAATGAGGGGAGTCTCCGCCTCCACCGCCATCCAGCTCTGGGGGCGGAGGGGGAGGTGGAGGCGGCGGCGGAGGTGGTGGAGCAGGAGCCGCGCCGCCTCCGTTGCCTACTGGAGAGTGCTGGGCCAATGGGGGAGGTGGAGGGGGTGGGGCTTGCGGAGCAATGGACGAGTGCAAGGAAGACTGAGGAGGAGGAGGGGGAGGCTGGTGGTGGTGGTGGTGATGGTGGGGGGGAGGAGGGGGCTGGTGACCTCCCCTGGTGGGAGGAGGTGGAGGAGGCGGGGCACCTAGAGTTCCTGGTCTAGTGGGGGGAGGAGGAGGAGGAGCTGAGGCAGGGGCTCTCGACGGCGGAGGGGGAGGAGGGGCCCCCCTGCCTCCTCTTGACGGGGGAGGAGGAGGGGGTGTAGCTGAGCTGTGGGGGGGCGGAGGAGGAGGAGGGGGACCGCCACGAATAGGAGGTGGAGGGGGTGCTGCAGGAGAAGATAACAGACACGAGATCGAATCAATAAACCTTAAGATGACGTCACACAGGCGCCACCTGCCACCTGTTCCCAAACTTTTTAAATGTGAGTCATGCAAAGCTACAATACAGGAGTCACAGAACTACAGTATAGGAGTGGAAAAGCAGTTTAATAGGTTTCCTTTAATGTTGTGAAACATTGCAATTTGGTTAGGTTTAGGCACCAAAAGTACTCCATGGTTTGGGTAAAAAAAAAGAAATAAAAAAAAGAAAAAACTACGTTATGTTCGTCAGTTAACTTAAGAAATATAAGTAACGTTACTTGCGTAACTTACACAATTTACGTAACTTAAATTATTTAATGTTGACTTTTTGTTTCACACAGGAAACGAACACCTGTCTCCTGGCTGAAAGTCGATTTACTGGCCCTCCATCCACCCCAACCACCTAGTTACTCGGTCTTTTCTGCTAAATATCATATACCTACCTTTACCTACAGGGCTTCCCCCATTGCGCTGAACTATGACACTATTGGGATCTCTAGTGCTTTACAAACTGACGCTGACGGGTCTCGACCACGCGTCCATATGTGACGAGTTGGGAGTGAGAATGGGTTGGAAAATATTTAGTTTTTTAAATGTTGGTCACACAAAACAAGCAGTTTGAATATGTTAACATGGGCTTTTAGGAGATTGTGATACTTTGACATTTTATAGAAAAAAAAACAGTCAATTCAATTTTCTAGAAAAGAATCTGCTGATTAATCGATGATGAAACTTATTGTAAATTGCAGCCCCAGACTGAGGGTATGAAGAAAGTTACATTTCTGCAGCACCTCGTCTGTACTAGAACAGCGTCCTTATTGTAGTCAGTCAACATGACGACCACAGATAGCCAATAATATTCCAGTACTCTGACAACTTGAAAAGATCCACCATCTTTCTACACGTTGTCTAAAATCATCATACACCCAGACACCCTTACATCATCCTAAATTGAGATTCAGATCAGTCCTGCTTTCAAAGCAGCGCAGCTTAACATGAATAAAACATGGGCAGAGACTCATGACAGAAGAAGCAGAGTCTGTCACGAGGAATAAAAAAAACAGACAGAGCATACCGTTTCATCTGCACACCTCAAATCTACTGTCGGAAAGAAAAATACAGGAGAAAGGCAGGAAATGATAGTTCAAGATAAAACTGTGAGGGGATTTTAAATGAGTTTGAAAAAAAAAAAGTTATTTTGCTTCTTTTTAAAACAAATTTTTGCTATGTTGCTGTTTTTATAGATTAATTTTAGGCTTAAAAATCCCTGACTTCTGACTCGATGCTACACTACACACTTCGCCCGTCATGTTCTGTGATTGATATTGATTATTTATCATAAAAATGTTGCACAAACACCAGTGCACTCACACCTTAAGTAGATGACAGCTGTCAATCACTCTGCGTAATGCAGCGCAAACATTACAGTCGGATAAATGAAATCAGTTTATTCAGACTGGTTCGCACGACTTGTCCTTTGTAAAAACAGCTTTTGTCTTTTCACTTGATCAAACCTCATAGTTTGTATGTACGGAAACCTAAATATTTAACTTTATTTTCACGTTTGTCTCTAACATTTAACTGACTCTCATGTTTTAATGTCCCACAAGAGTTTAAAGAAAAGGTTCGACAAGTGAAATCCACTTATTAGTCTTCTGGTGGAGAGAGAAGATTCTGTTGATGAGAAGATCAATACCATACTCCTCATCTAACTATCTGTTAGTAATAGGGTACAACTAACGATTATTTTCATTATCGACTAACCTGCAGACTATTTCCTCGATTAATCGACTAATCGTTAGGTCTATAAAATGTGAAGAAATTGTGAAAAATGCTCATCACAATTTTCCAGAGCCCAAAGTGATGCCTTCAAAGTACTTCTTTGGTGCAACCAACAGTCCAAAACCCAAAGACTCGTCATTTACTATTATAAATGACAAAGAATAGCAGCAATTCCTTAATTGACGAAAGAAGAAGAAACCAGCAAATTTGTTTACATTTTTGCTTAAAAAAAAATGCCTGAAATGATTAATCGATTATCAAAATAGTCGACAGACTATGTGAATAATCGACTCACCGTTGCAGCAGCAGTTAGTAATAGTATTTCCCACAATGTTTAACTACTCTTTTAAGATCTGTTTGAGAGGTTTTTACATTTTGGCAAAAGAGAGGAAAGTCATTTGGGAGAAAAACTGTAAAAACTAAAATGTATTATGTATCAGCTATCTGCAAAATCAACTGACAAGCAGCAGCACTGGCCTTCTTCCATCTGTCAAAAATGAGCAGAGCCCTGCGCAGAGAGAGCAAGAGAGAGAGCGTGACCGTCCAGCAACAGAAACCAAGGCAGAGCATGGTTTCCCACAACACTACCTAACTGGGAACGGAACTAAATACATTATTTTTTTAAGACTAAATAATTTATTTATTCTGTAAAAAAAAAAAAAATCACAATTTTCCAAAGTTGAAGCTGACATCTTCCAACTTGTTTTCGTGCTTGTTTTGTCTGACCAACAGTCCAAAATCCACTAAACTTAAATAAACAACTCATCAATTAATTGAATTATCATTAACAATAATTACGCCACAATATCTGTGTTTACATCACAGATGGTGTTAAATCAAATGCTGCGCCACCTTCATTATTATTCAAGATCAGTTTGACACATCAAAAGGTATCCGAGTGTGTACGTGTGTGTGCGCGTTCTCACCCTGCCTCCTCAGTTCGTTTTTGACAGCCTCCACCCCTCCTTTCTTCTCGATGAAGTCGTAGATGACCTTGGACGTCTCTCGGTCCTTCAGCTGAGCCTCAGAGATGCCGCACATGTCGAACAGGTTCTTCAGTTCAGGATCCAGGTTGTTGAGCTGCAACAACAAAACAGAGAACATTTTAAACACGCACACACACAAACACACACACTGTTCAGGACTGCAGTTATAAGACTTCTAACTAAAGCTCACACAAAAATGACTTGTCAGCTCAAAATACTTACTGATGACTCCTGTGGTCAAACTTCCATTTGTGCAGAAAATAGCTGCAACAAATTGTGTTCTTGTATGAAATGCTGGATGAGGAAAGATGCATTATCTGGCCATGTGGAAGGAATCCCATTACTGTGCGGCTTTGTAACAGTTAGAGGTCAGTCTTTAGCCATGCTATTGACTCCGTGAGGCTGTACTTCTGCACAACGCTGCTTTGAGCCAAATGCTAACTCCCTAATGGGAGTCCTGCACAGTGCCGACTAAGCTAAGCGCGTACATGAGTATACAAGGATCTGAAATAATTTGACTTTGTTCTGGCCCGTCCTGTAACAGCTTGAAAAAATTCTGGCCCAATGCCAGACTTATTTGCCGACCCCTGCTTTAGGGCATTGGTTTTCAAAGTCTGAGACTGTGGGCCTCTCGTCAGACAAAGCTTGAAAAAAGCCCCCTCAACCCCCCATATTTTACTTGCTTAGTTTTCGCCTGGATGCCTAAGATATCATGATTATGTTATTTGGTCCTATAGACACTCAACTATTGAGAAAAGATAGCCTTAATGTTTAACATAACTTCAGACTACGCCAAATACATGAAGTGTCTCCTAAAGCATTTACTGGTTTCTGACTCTGGTAAAGTAGGAAACACTGTAAAATTCCCCTCTTTAACCAATCACACATATTTAGTCTATTCTTCATGATCTCTTTTTGATAACGTAAGAACTTTTCACTTCCATTCACTGAGCCTGCCCCGAAACAGTTGAGGCCCTCCCAAGTTCAAAACCCTCTGCTCTAGGGAACTTTAATATCAGCAGCAATCCATCTGCTATTTCACCCTGAACCACCAACGTCAACTGACTGACTGCCCACATTTTCACAGCAATCCATCTAGTAGTTGTTGATAAATCTCAGTCTGGACCAACAGACAGACCGACCAACATTACCGTCCCTAAAGCCAAAGGAACATGTTTATAGTAGTAACACTGAGTACTGAAAGCAGTCCTCTACTTTGATCCAATGTCTCCTGATTTTAATAAGAACTTTGTTTTATATTAGTTCCTAAACAGCCTCCACTTCACAGCAACAAACAATTGCCAAACCTTAAATGACAACACTGATGATACATCCTGTTAACAATCCCACTCAGTTATTTTCCCACTGGATTTTGTTAATACATGTTAGTTTATTTATACCTCACTTGGTTTTATTATACATTTGTCACCGTTTCTTCTGTAAATAAGCAGATTCTGCTTCCTCTGCGGCGATGATACTCAGCAGTCAGTCACAGTGTCAGTCTGACATCTGCTGGCCAGCAGGTAGAATTACAAGCTCCAAACAAAACAATCCACTCCGCTGCTTTTCATCAAATCAAACATTGACCTGCAACTCTGTTATGTTCTCCTCCTTGGAAATATTCCCACCTCGTTTCTGTCACACTGCAGTGCATTCTGGGACTGTCTGGTGTGGGACTGACATGTGGGATACTGTATTTTATCAGCCTCCTGCTCGTTAAGCCCCCCCAGTCTGAACACAACGTTCGTTAGCGGACAAACTCAACGATGACATCAGCAGCTTCAATTGCTACGAGAAACCAGTTCCTAAACAGCCGATGTAATAACGTGCGCAGTTTGTCACTAGATGCTGTTTTCACATTACTCAGTTGAAGGTTTCTCCTCGTTTCCCTGAAATGTTTGACATCACATCTAGTGGAGAAACAAATAATGCTCCAACATACAACTTAAACTCTGCAGAACACGTACATTCGTCTTTTGAGACAGTAGTAGAACTTTTTTTCATATTTATTGTTTTTGGAAATCAGTAACAAGACAGAAAAATGAAGTGTGCTTTAAAACCTCTTAAGAGTATTGTCACATTTTATCATTTCAAAACTCAAAATGTCAGCTGCCCTACGAAACAAACCCTAAATAACATCACATAACGTTTAAGTGTGTCATTTTGCCAACCTGTTTTTTACTCTTTGTCCTCTTTTTTATGGGTGTTTGTATCCTAAATTGTGTCCTGTTAATTGCAAAATTTGAAGCACCTGTATAGGAGCTATACTGGATGTGCCTTCTGCATACTCTGCAGCAATAAGAGGAAATAAAAAATGAAAAAAGCCCCATTACTCTAACTTGTGATCTCACCACAGCCCTTGCTTTAATAAACCAGATTATTTTCAGCTGTGGCACCAAATCACTTTTTTATGAAGGGAACTGCTGACAGTTAAAATACTTTCATTTGTGCTGTTAGTTCATTGCAACATCATCACTGATGATGAACACAAAGAGGAGCTTCTTGACAGCTACAGCTCCCCTTGTGACAGAGATGTGCTGGTTGTGGAGACGACCACGTAGTCAGTGCGTTTGCGGGTTTAAAAGCCAGTTTCATGAGGTGCTTCGTGCCTAATAAACAACAACAAGTCAATACAACTTTTAATTTAACAACATAAGAGGGGTGGGGAATAGCGTAGGGTGCACAATTACCACATTGCATTAATTTCAAGTGTGCTAATTATCTATGAAATTAGAGCTTTTTGAGACTGTGGAAGAGGAAGAGAGAAGCGCTTTGAATGAGTCTGTATTTAAATATATTTACATAATGTCTTCAGTATGCCACTCTGAGCAGACCGGTTCTCTCTGGAACATTCTGTGTCCGTGTGCAGCTTCTGAGACGCAGCGAGATGAGTATGAGCAGGAAACAAAAAGAGCCTATTGTGTGATTTCATCATGCAGCAACCACACAGGTCACTATTGTGCTCCTGTGTGCGTGTTTGTGTGTGTGTGTGAAAGGGGGTACTCACATCAAAACCTGTGTTTGGATCCCAGCCCACGTGACCGATGTGCCTGAAGAAGACGGGGACAGATATGTGGTGAGATCACACACACACGTCCACACAAACACATAAATATACAGAAGTACATCAACTATTCAGCATGTGCATGTGGGCGATCATGTGCACATGCTAAATAGTGAGCCCACACACTGACACATCAGTCACAGAGACAGTGTGGTCATTGAGCGATTTCAGACCGCAACGAAACAGGTTTACTGTTGCCAACAGGCAGAGGGTTTCTGCTGGATCAGACAGGGTGGTACAGGTCTATGACTGCGCGCACACACACACGCACACACACACACACACACACACACACACACACTACAAGGAACATTTTGGAGAGGCTTTAAGTTTTTTTCCTAGAACATTTAAGTTAATTATTTGTCACTTGTTTTAGGCTGAGTTTGCTTTTGTAAGATGACCCGATTGCCAGTTGAGCAAGTTTTAGCACATTAACAGCAAACTCTGCACACATTAACATTCCTAATGATCATTTCCCAAGTCATTGGGAGTTTCTGGTTTAAAGGGGAATGCCACGAGTCATGAGTACTTCTACTACTCCGCCTGAGAATGCTGTTGCATGAAGTCTTCTGTGTCTCTGGAGGAGTAATTCATTTCAATGACACCACTCGAGTGTCTCGGCCTCACCATGGAGAAAACAGAAAGCCTGTGTTATGGAGGTATGGAGCTTGAAAGATATAGATATTTATCAGAGAGGGTCTAATGAAAGACACTATTGAGTTGCATTTTACCCACACTGGGGCCAAAAAGTCAGGATGTCTCGCTTCAATTTTTGACGGCACTTCTCGTCCCCCAACTACAGTTTTTTTTTTCTTCTTTTTTCTATCATTTAATCGTGAAAATATTAGTCAATATTATTCAGATTAGATGGACTAAAACACTATCTCATCATCATTCTGCTGCAGCGCTCAACAATGATAAATACGAGGTGCGACTCACTGGAAGTTGCTGGGCGTGCCAATGTCAGCCTTCGTCAGCTTCTTCTTCTTGCCTTTGGTCTTCTTGTCCTTCCGGGACAGCCCGCTGTGGCTCAGCATGTTGTTGAGGTGGTACGGCTGCTGGTGGCTGTGGGAGTTGTGGAATCGGACGTTGTTGATCTCCGGGTTCTTGATGTCCACCACGGCCATGTGCAGAGCTGGACCTGAACACAGGGAGGGAGAGAGGGCGGTCAAGCAGAAATGTTTATGAGCTGTGGTTGATTTTTGACAGCAAACTTTCCACTTGTGCAACACAAATATTAAAATGTAATAAGTAGACTCTTAAGATATGCCTCGATCCCATTCCTGCTCCCCAGGGGATGAACCTTTTTAACAATGACCATCCCTCAGGACAGGCTTTACATTTTTAGCTCCACTACTGGTTAGATTCCACAAATAGTCAAATCATCAGCATGTTGTTTGTTGTGTCAAACATGTTGCTGTTTAGGGTTTCTGCAGGCTTCACAAAGTTAAACGAAATACCTTTTAAGACCATTTAATGTAACATATTTGCAAAACAGCTGATCCAGGCTCAACTTTTGCAGTAACATCATCCAGTAAAATGCTGCGTTAACCAGTAAAATACATGCAAGCGCAATTTCCTGGCAGAGGACTTTATAACATTAACACGGTGATGTTAAGATAAACTATCCGTTGTCGTTATAAAATTGAGGGCAGTGCAGCGTTTTTGCACATGAAAAGCCTCAAACTCAAGAATCTTTTACTTAAACTAGACTTCCTTTATTCTACTTATTTATCTTATGTGTAGTGTGTACTGCTGGTCGGACAGCACTGACTGAAACTTCTTATAAAAGAAGCACGAAGACGAGTTTATTATGAAATATGTTACAATTTCCCCGACAGCCAAACACACACAAACATTTTTTAATATAAAATTGATTATCTGGCAGGCAAGAAAGCAAGCTTTTAATACCTTTGCAAATGAAATTAAATATTTTAATACATTTTAAGGCCTGATTTTGATAAAACAGAATTCAATTCTATTAGGATTTAAGACCTGTGTGGATTCCCTGATATTGTCGCTGTAATGAAGACTGCATCCTACAGGGGGATGCTGGCGTACCTTTTGACTGTTAGTAAGGTTTTTACTGTAGTATGTAATCTAACCGACCCCTACTGACACTAATCTATATACCTTCAGTAATCCCTGGTACCTGGGAGATCAATATAGCAAAGGGTTTCTGTAAAATCTCTGCAGTGTTTCATGTTTACCAACGGGGATCTGATCCATCTGCACTGAGCTTTTATGATCCATCTTTTCTTATATAAATGTCAACTGGCTGTCTCCCCCCTAGCGTTGGTCCGAACCGTTCAGTCTTTGAATTCTCATAATCTCCACAAACCACAGCAGCATCTGACAATCACTAATCCACTGCTAATCCCAGTCCAAATCCCAGGACTCCCCATGAATGCCGGATGTCTATGACCAGACCAACATGCTTGCCTCAAATCTGCCGTCTTCTGAGGACCAGGGTGGTCGTTTCCACCTTTTGAAGTAGAGCTGTATGGGTTGGTTCTGTGTGATCAAAGATGAGTTATGCAGCCCCCTCCCTATGGAACTCCTTACCCATACACACCCGAGATTGCAGCGACATAGACTCAAATCACTTATAAAAACCCACCTTTTTAGACTAGCTTTTAACCTCAAATAATGTTATATTGCACCTCCTGCTGTTTGTTATTTATATGGTCGCCCCTTCGCTCTTATATTTCCGCACCACATGTTTTCATCTACTGTTCATACATTTTATATTTTGCTATTCAGGTTTTTTATCAGTTTTAAATGTACATAACTTCTAATTTTTCTGTAAAGTGCCTTTGAATGTCCTTAAAAGCGCTACAGAAATGTATTATTATTAATTTTTTTTAAAGTAACCGGAAGGCTTGCTTGAGCTTCACAATCTTGTAAACTTTTATTTGACAGTTCCTTATTTAAATCTTCATTTTTATAAGGCATTTTGGGAACTTGTTCATAATTTCTGAATCATTTTTGTATCAGTACTCAAACTCAGGTATCGTTTCATCGTCTTAACATTTCAACTGACACCTAGCCCTAATCGAATTATAATGTCACAAAAATGCTGTCCTCCTGATCCTTTTGCAAAGTTTGCTGAACTCCAAATAAGTCAGACTCGAACTTTGGTTCATTAACACATTCAATACGAAAAGCTGCCAGAGTCGCTGCAAAAATTTTGGCTTCTTTTCTAAAACAGACCAGACCAGCAAAAACTTACAACCACACTTCGTATTGGTTGGATTAGATACGACAATGAGCATCGATTCAAGCCACAGCATTCAGTTTGTCAATGAACAGCAAATGTGAAGCTTTCAGAGCTGGATATAAGAGTTCACATCAGGTAACAACAGAGACAGAGGCGATCTCTCAAATTTCCCCAAACAATATGGATGATCCCAACATGAGCAGCTTCTTCGCTACAAAAGTGATTTTACTGATGTTCTCACAATGAGGATGAGAATAATACAAGTGAAGAGGACTGGGGAGGCTGAGACACATACATTTCCCAAACAGAAAAGCAAATCCAGAGCAACGACGTCCCGCTGTTAGTCTCATGTTTCACAGCTGAAATGTCAAAATGAATCTGTGCCCCTGGAGAGAAACTTGACTGAAGAGACGACCGATTTGTTCAGTATGTGTTAATCCTGCTCTTTACAGCGTCAGTGTTTGCCAACAGTCGGCTTAATGAAAGTAAACCGTTTTCTTTGGGATGACATGCAGACACAGCTGCAGAGGAGAAGATCTAAACTAAAGCTCTGATGCACTGGGACCATTACCCACAACTTTGCTCATGATGGTGTTCAGGTGAAGGCAAACTCCAAATTAAGCCGGCTAAATCTGAAAACACTTATTTTTGCTCTCCCTTTTGGCTTTCTGTCCACAAGGTGGTGTGGAATCACAGCTGAACTGCTTCCAGAGAAAAGAAGTATATAAAAGTGGACGTAGCCTCCGTGATGTCACCCATTGGTTTGTGGACAGCCATTTTAAAGCCATGAATTTGGCATCTCGTTTTTTTAAAACCACAAATTACCATATTTGGACGACAGGGTGGAGGTGGGGAGAGACACGAATTGCTACACCTGACAGGCTGTGGAAGCGACTTGCCAATCACAAGGTAGCCACGCCCTAAAGAATACCCTGCTTTGTCATTTATTTTCCTCTAAATGGGACCAACATTTACAAAATGAACATTATGCTGTATTGAAGTAGACTTGAAACTAGCGACTGAGACAATAAATTTGCTAGGAAAGTGTTTACTGAGATAATGAATCAATAAAATAAAACTCAAGTGAGAAGTAGGGTCCTTTTGTCATAGAAGTTTATACAATCGGACTTCTTTTTGCAAGCGAGTGGATATTCTCACTTTAAAACTGGGCATCTTAAAAAGATCTTAACAACACTCCAGCCTCATATTCAAGTCGATGACTATTTGTCTCCTCTACCCTCTGTGATTAATGATTTTAAATGTTAATGGAAACCACAGTGTGCTATATTCCCTAACTTCAATGGTCAATGTTTCAGTGTAGCAGCATAGGAATTAAGAGCAGCTGGTGCTACTACTGGTCACCTAGTGAACAGCTAACACTTAATCATAAATGACCCCCCCCCCCCATCAAATCTACACAAATCCCAAAAGTTTAGGATTCAAAACAGCAAATTTCGCTGAAAGGTGAGAAGTTTTATGCTGATTCATGTGCACTTTCTTCTAATAAAATAGAAATTCACTGATGAATGATAAAATTAAATATATACAAAACAAATGTTCAGCAGCAGTAACTATAGGGATTACAGATTAGGCCTAATGTGCATCACAACAGGCTTTAAAGAGAACAACAACAGAGACCATGTGGTCCACATATGGCGCAGATGGGCTTCCTGCTGACCAGATTAACCTGCAGCAGACTTCCACTCTGTGTCAGTGTGTGAGTCACACAAACAATGCTGCTAATGTGTCGGGAAACACCACAACACTCCAGTCTCTTGGCATTTGTCATCCAGTCACGCAAAAATCTATTTTTGTAGGAGACACTCAATGAGGATGAGCACGTCTTCTAATCAGCTTCTTGCTTCTACATTCACATGGAGACATATACTGTAGGGTCACAGGTTTTCATGACTAAACACAGTGGAGGGCCACAGTAGCACGCACTAAGATACCTTTGCCTATATTATACAGCAAAAAAACAAAGAAATTACTCTACTCGACTACTAAGTTCTTGGTATTACCACCAGTAATCACAGGTGGTGCTACATTAAAGCAGGCCTTGGTAACAACTGAACATACAATGCAAAACCTTCTGCATCTCGTATCACTGCGCTAAGCCCCTCCCACCAAACCTACAAGAAGGAGCTGGTCGCCCTGTGAAACCTCATGCCATGTAGGGCTCGCTCTCCACGGCGAGACCTGGCCCCTCTGGCTTCGACTTATCTTTTCTAAGAAAACTCTCCAACGTGTCAAACAACTAACAGCGGGATGAGAGGCTAGTACATCACTGTCTCCCCTTAAAGGTTTTGTCGTCATGCCTCTTTGCCACTCGTCGATACGAGCGCCGTGGCATCAAACATAATGAGTTTGAAGCCCCGTGTGGAGCCGTACTATACGCCGTTGTTGGTAAAGGAGGGACGCGCAGTTCTTCCATTGTTTGTGGTTGTTTCTCAGCCGTTGTGTTTGCAAAACGTCTGAAGCCGCACTGAAGATATTGAGCTGGACTGAGTGAGAACATGTGGGAGGAGGGGGACTGCGCAGTGTGTACACAAGCAGTGATTAACAGTGCGTTTGAGACTGATCCTGGCTCTGATTGGTTGCTTTGACCTAGAAGCAGGAGCACTAGGTGGAGCCAGAGGAACGTGATGTATTTGTTAATATTTTCTTCTTTTTTATTATTTTTTATTCTTTCTCACGTACGGCTGTTGAAATATAGTGATAGTTTCAGCAAATATGCCCCATATTATTAGGAGTTCACTACTGTATCTTTAACTACAACTAATATTTTAAGGATTATAACTTCACTTTCTCTCAATTTTTTTTGTTTCATACTTGTACTTGCATTTTGTTGTGGGGGACATAGATTCTCGTGTTTCATCTTGTGTTCATGTTATTGGTGTTTTTGTTGTTTGATACGAAAGCAACAAATAAAAAAATAACAGGGTTATAAAAGTAAATATGAGGATCATTTATTATATAATAGGCGAAGATAACCATGTCATAATCTCAAGATAACGGGACATAAAAAGCCACTGTGGGTCACTCTGAGCTTAAGTAAGTAAGTAAAACTGAATCTGAATTATCAACATTGAGAGTTCAACATACCATTTTTAGTGTCACCTCTCTTCTCTGCAAAAGAAAAATTAACACAATTATAGTTTCAGAACAAAATCAACAGGACTTAATTAAATTAAGAACACGTAAAATGAAAGATGTTTAGTTTCTAAGAGGCGAGAGAAGAGGGTGAACTGTTCAAGAGTCAGAAAGTGTGTTACAGTTCAGTAAGCATCATTCTGTGGCGGCTAGAGAGAAGATGACAGTTTTAAAGCCCTCAGGTGTAAAAGCTGTCAGAGAACAAACGCTGCTTCATTTATTCGACGCTGTGAGCAAAGCAGTCAGAAAGAGAGTTCAGGAAGTCTGCAACATGAGCGGAAGAAGAAAAAGCAAAAGATCTGAAAGCTCAGTTGTGATAAGTCCGATGAAAAACTCCCCTCCTAAAAAAAAAAAAAAAAAAACACCTTCTGTGTCCCAGCTCTGTGAGCGTTTGACCCTCAGTAACCATCACAGTTTGAGTGGTGTACTTCAAAAGTGCCAGCATGCTGAGAGGAGCTGGAGGGAAGCCACAGAGGACCCTCACTTACAACACAGAGACAGGCTGATGGTTTTACTACAGCAGAGAGAAAAGTCCCAAACCAAACCTTAACTCATGTCCTCATCAAAGAAAACACCTTTACAGATTTTACATTTACGATATTGTGACTTATACCCCTCTCATACAGCAGACGCACATCTGATGTGGGTCACTTTCAAAGAGTTCAAATGAACACGTACATTAGTTCAAATTAATTTGAACGCAACCATTCAGTATATAGCGCAAGTAAACCCAAATTTAAAAGTAACAGCCTTCTATACTGACATGTGTTCAACCCACATTAGACCCATTCCTATGAGACAGCGGTCACTGTTAGAGACTGCGGTCTGTAGTTTAGTTTATACGCACATCCAGAAAGGACTAAATAGAAGTTAGGTTCAGGCTACACAAGCACACTCCCACCTATACGTGCACCTTCACTATTCTTCTGTAGAGTCTGTTCAATTATGCTTACCCGTCATTAGTTTCATTTCCATCCCTAATACTTGTAATAACATAACGTCACACCTCATGTTATAGCCAACCAGGCTCCTGGATGGCAACGTGCAACAGTTTCCTATTAAAAGATACGACAAATGCTATTCAGGTCATTTATTTTTGTTTTAATTAATTAATATAATGAAGATCCCTCAACTTTTGCTGCAATGCTTTATTTTGGTGAGGTGCATTTTCTACATCATTAGTCAGTCAAGGCTTCAAGCTTAAAAAGGAACTCCAATATAAATGATTAACGTGTGCAAAAGTCTTGACGGAGAAGAGAACAAAGCATCTTGTGCTTACTTTGAGAACAAGAAAAACAAGAGTCCGTCAGCGTGTGGGATCGTTTGGTTCCTTCTAAAATGTCCTGTTTACCTATACTTTTAATTTCAAGATCCATTCAAGTACCTTAGCGGGAACATGAGCAAAGCAGCCAGGTTTGGGACTGAGGCTGAGGTCTTGTTAGCAGAAGAGGTGGTAAGTGTTCTAAGCACAGGTGTGAAAGGTTAAAGGTCACACAGCTTGATGAAGCAGAGAGACAAAATGAAACAATAAAAACGTACCAGTTTTGCGTTGTCGTCGGTTGAGCAGGTCGTTAACTGCCGCTCTGAATCTTTTGGCCTCCTCTTCGCTGGCGAAGTTCAGACCGATCTGACAGGTCTGAGAGGGAACAGCAGAACAAGACACAGATGGCACCTTTCTTTAAATAAAAAGTATTCAACAGAAAGATTATAGAACATCAAGTCTGCGCACATCATACCTAATTATCACCAGGCAGCGTCTGGAGTAAGTGATACTGTTTCACTAACCGGGGCATGATCATACACTACACTGTTTAGAGGTCTCATGATTTAAAAACATTTTGGCTTTTCCTGAAGTGCATCCTCTAAAGAATCAGTCAGTTAAGTACAGACATCTCCAGCTCGGGTCCTCCTGCAGCATTTTATAGCCGAGGAGGGTCTTTTGTCAAAAAACGACTCAACCTTCAGAAGCTCTCTGCTCTGCAACTGTTTAAAGAGCAGACACATCCTGAAGGCCTGCGGCTGCTTCACATTACTGCCTGTGTGTAAAACAGCTGCAGCAGCAGCAAAAAAAAAATACAATAGACACCCTAATGTGAATATGTGACTGTGTGAAAGCGCATTCAGTGATCTCACACCTTATTAAACTGTAAGACCTGATCAGTGAGTCCAGCAGCTGTGGGCAATTTGTTTTTGAGGTAATGACAAAGAGCTGCACACTTACATCGCCTGCAAACATGATGAAGTAGGATCTGGAGCTGCTGATAGAGAAGTTGTGGTACAGTTCTTGTTCAAACATGGTTTTCCCTTCCTGCAAAGACAGAGAAAGAAACAGAGTAGATTATTCTTGGGAGTTCAGAAGAACCAAATCTGTAACACGCATCATCAGATTTTCATCCACGGACTACAAATCACCCGCACGTTCTGTCATTTTCAATACAAGAAATTACCAAATTCACACGATTTGCCTTTTGACAAACCGCGTTTTCAAATAGTTGGTGTTTCTTGATTTGATTTTCTGACAGAGCTCATTAACAGCGATACATTTGGACGCATCTTTAAAGTAACGGCAGGTTTGTTTTTAATAGAAATTAGCTGAAACCGAAGTGATATTTTGTCCACAGACTCAGCCTGTATGAGAGTCAGACAAAGTAAACACACATGAGTGGCTGGTAATTCAATTTGATCCATTAGAGTTACACACCTGATTGCACATCATCTTTGAAAAAAAAAACGTGTTAATTTATTCTGCCAACAGTGTATAGATTCAGTCAGCGTAACAGACAGAGGGAAGAATGAAGAGAAAATGAGCAGATTTAATGGACAAGTTGGCCGTTTTTGGCTAATAGGGGTGTGACGAGACGAGATTCAAGACTGGGTTCACGAGACGAGACGAGATGAGATTTTAACACTATTTTTAAGAAATCTTTAATACTGAATTATATGAAAATTTTTTAGTATTAAACACTTTATTTCCTGCATTCTGATGAATTTTTCTGCACTAGTTTATGGTGATTTGTTAAAATTTTTTTACATAAAGAGAAACACAAAATTCTGGTGGCAGGAGACAATTCAAACTCTATAATGAAACTATAACAGAATATAAGTCTTTGCAGCTCTCGGTTATCTGTTTCTCCTGTAGAACAACTTTTTTAATATCATCCCTGTAGATTCATGATTTGGTCTTCCCTCCTCTTTGTGTCTTTGTTTGGGGAAGTAACACTTTTTCACCATAATGATAAATTACTTAATTTTAAATTAGTTGTAAACTCCTGAACTTGAACTTCTGTGCTTCAAAACTTTCTGCACATTCAGAATCTCCTCCACAAATCTGTGTTCTCTGACGTGTCCAGAGAAAAGTCAGACTATTACCAGACTAACGTCATCAGTTAATAAGAAGTCTGTGCATTACGTTTTTTGATCCGCTGGTAGTAACGTTATCCCCTTCAGACCGTTTGACCGACGCAGTCTGGGACTGCATGCTGCATGTGAAACCGAAACTAAATGAAACACTTTTGATCAGGCAGAAATCTCACCACAGATCCACACACGTGAACTTTAGCAGCTCAGATAAAGTGCTCAAAGCCCCCACAGTCCCAAACAGAGCAGGCTGCGCTTCAGTTTTTAGAGGTTTATGTTGCTCTAACAGCTACGTTACCTCTCGTCATATCTGTCTGGACTCGGTTGATTACTATCACAGTGTACGCCGGTGTCAATCAACTGGGCGGAGTTGATTCACTCCATGAATCTATTTTATCAGTGAGAAAATTAAAATATCATTTGTGTGAGTCTCGCAAGACAGCTTTTTACCTGACGAGAATCTTCATTACAATTTAATCTCACAAAATCTCGTGCCGCAAGATCTCGTCACACTAGGGCTGGGCGATATGGCCAAAAATGTTATCATGATTAAAATATTTCATATCATTTGATATCAATAATTACCACGATATATATCAAATCATTATTTCTTTCAAGTTTCAAGGTAGATTTTTGCTCCTGAGTGGAAATTGATGAAACCAGATGGTTAATTATGTGGTCAGAATGGGAAAAACACTTGATGCCAAAACAGTGGATCACTTCATAAATCTGAGGAAGAACAATCAAAACCATTATGATAAAATCTTTTTCAACATAAATAATAATAAATATCTTAATAGAAAAATTAAGTGCTAATTTGTTTGCGATTCAAATGAATTAAACCAGATATTTACTGACTGATATATTGAACATTTATTATATTGTTATTGAGGAATACTATATTGCAATAATGATCATTATTGTTTTATTGCCCATTTTTTCACAAAACAGACATGTATCCCTGAAATTTAAGAACCAAGATACGCACGAAGCCAAATCTGTTGGTATAAAAAGGCTGTATTTCAGTTTCTTGCTACATGTCAGCCGACCTATATGCTGATACGATAAATCTGTGATAAGATCGAAAACGACAGCTTTGCTGATCAACATTGTGTTTTTCCACCACGTGCCCCCGAAAAGTTTTTAAGCTGTATAGTGAAAGGGATGAATAGCAATCTTCATAAAGATATTCTCTCATTTGCTGTTTTGATGATGGTGGTGGAGAACAAAGTCACTCCAGGTGTCCCAGAGGAGTTCAGATGGGTTGAGATCTGGTGACTTCACAATCATAGAACCAGTCAGTCAGTCCTTTTCACCTTTCTTTGTTACCCGCATCAATATGAAACTTCAAACATTGAGTTTTTACTTGTATTCAAGTATTTTAATGTAACATCTGACTGATTACAAGCTTCTATTTTTCAGGACATTTCCTAAGGAGACTACTTGAAGTACGTTTATGCGACTTCTAATGAAATGTTCAATACATTATACCTGGCTAATATAAACCTAATGCAAATGTTTGGGAAATAAGCTTATTGGCTTTCTGGCAGAGAGCAAGACGAGGACCAATAACTGTCACATATCTGTGCATTCATTACCCTTGTAAAATTGGTATCAATCTTCTCATCTAAATCAGAAAGCCAATAAGCATGTTTCCCAAAATTAAGATGCTTCATTACACTATCTACCTGGTGTTTAGTTAAAGCTTTACAGATGGTCCCACTCACCTTGATATCAAACACTCTGATGAAGTAGGACCTCTGAGGGTTGTCTTTGACCAGACAGGCCACTCCACAGCACCTCTTCACCCAGTTGCAGCTCCGGTCTGCACAGTATACCTGGACCACTGCCGAACACAGAGTCTGAACACACAGAGGACAAAAGGACAGGACGGTGAATATCAGCGCCTGCGCAGTTCATTAACAATACATACAATTAATAACCAGGTGTGTTGAGTCCTGCAGCGAGTGTAAGTAACTGCTCAGTCAGGAGAATTTTAACTGCATGGCTGCGATCTCGCTCTAATGCGTGTCCACATTTAAATACACATCAGGAGAGTTGTTAAAAGCCCCCAAGCTGTGTAACGTGTCACAAAGCAGCAGCAGAGCAACCAGCGAGGAAGCGGAACTCTATCCATGATGCAAAACATTTAAACAATGATAAGGAGTACATAAAGCCCACAGCTGTTTCACCAGGTGAGAAACGAAGAGCAGGTCATTTAGGCAAACCTGAGACCTTTTCAAATCAGATTACCTGTCACATATGCAAAAATCTTCACAATGGAGTCTCAAATGTGCAGAAGAAAATGACTAAATTATGTTTGATATTATGCCCGTACACTCTTTTGTGATCATTTGTTGTCTTGGCATTGTACTTCAAAATGAACTTGCTGAATTAAAGGCACATTCCCCTGATATAATAAATCTCTTCCAAAAAGTTGGGAAGCTTGTGAAAGAGTTTTAAAACCAAAAACCCTTGTAAACTGGTGAAACAGCATTCCCTCACACCATGTGCAACACCACGAAGGTCTTCAAGGAGAGACTGTCCGACAGCGTGCGCCATTATCCCCTTTTATGCTCTTTATTGATTCACATCTCACACCTCTCTATGACGGCATGCATTTCACCTGTGTGGACATTCAGGACAGGTAGGACACTTTTCACTTAAGAGATGACAGAAGAACTGGTTTCTTTGTTGGTATCTAGGGCTGCAGCTAACGATGAGATTAGTAATCAAGTATTCTACAGATTATTTCATCGATTCAGCGAGTAATTGTAAAAGACGTTTACCCCTGGTGAAGAAGTATCCCTCCCCTTTTTCCACTTGCTAACATTCAACACCAGAGCTGAGGGCATCGGAGCAGCGAGGAGGAAGAAACAGGGCCAGCCTAAGTCATTTGGATTCATCGTCCATGAACAACAGAACTTTGTGCCAATCTAATAGTTGTTGAGGTATTTCAGTCTGGACCCAAGTGGTGGACCAACATTGCCATCGCGAGAGTGGCAAAAAAAAGCAAACGACAACAAGAGGTTTTAATTGGGGGACAGATTATTAGCATTTCTGATAAACCACACTATTGTCTAAACTATAGTTGTATTCTGTAGCATTATGATTTGCCTTGATTTGAACTAAGGGGCCAAACCAGGAAAAACAGACCCACACTAACAGTATGCATCTCTTCCATGTTGATGATCTGTCAGTCCTTCACTTCACGAACTTCACTTTCTTCTTGTTTCAGAGGCCTTTTGCCTTAAGTTTGATCTTCAGCAGTAAAACTCACAATGGCATGGGTTGCAGTCATGCGAAGGATTTGGGCGAAACACTCCACTGTTAGGCCCTAAAAAAAAACCATGTTGCTGCGTCTGTATGTTCAGGATCACTGTCCTGAAAATTGGGAACTCTGTACTGTGGATATTATGGATATAAACACCCTAAAATTAAAGCTCTTTAACGTTACAGTGAGTTTTTCCAATTCAAATCGAGTGTATTTGACATTTCCCCACAGTGTTTAACTTTTTCTACAGGACAGGAAGCGGAGACCAGCTGCTGTCCTCAGCAGTATTGTGGGTTTTTGGTTTTGAGGTTTCTGCAGAATTTCCACCGTGTTCAATCCTCTGCCAGATTTTCCCTGTGTGGTAGACAGCAACTCAAGCAGCCGAGAGAGGAAATAGGAAATGCCAATGGACCAGTTTCCTGCTCTGATTTATGATTGCAGGTCAGAAGACCAGCAGGAAACACTTTTCAACACGAAATCACAGCTCAGCATCACACAGGAAAGGTCGAAGGTCGGCCATTAAAAGCCTCATTTAGGATCTGCACATTCTCACTGAAGGAAAGCATGTAGCAATGAACACAGACAGCAACACCGCAGACTCTCTGCAGGTTACATTAGCTGGCGCTTTAGCATCTAACAACCACAAACCCAAAGGACAATATCAATGTTTTAGACCAGCGGTTCCTTATTTGCCTACCCACATCTGATTGGTTACACATCGCGAATAATCTATCTAATAAACAAATAAATTATCAACACTTTGCTCGGGTGAGTGTTGACGAGAAGGCAGCCGATATTTCTGAAGGTGCAATAATCATCAAAAATCATCAAGCTTTTAAATCAGTCACTCTCCCCTTACCCACTCACTGCACACACAACATGCACAAGTCTTCTTTTCATTGCAACTCTGCATCGCAATGTAATGTTATATATTTATTACTTTAACAAGTTACAGTGGCAGTAAAACCTTCTCATACAACATTTCACCTGCGGTAAACCGTGCAGAGGGAGGTGGGGGGTATTTTCATGACAAAAAAAAAAAAAAAAACGTATCAAAACATCCCCGTCACTGTTTTTTCTTTTTAGAAATCGCACCAAACCAATAACATGGACAGAAAGAGGAACCATATGAGGATTTGTAAGTACAGTGCGGGTGGTTCAACCTGAGAGAGCGAGGGAGAGGATAGAGAGAGGTGTGCGAGTAGCTATTTCCTGTGAACGATTAATAATAAAGTTTTTAATTTTAAATTAAATTTACAAAGGAAAGTTTTCTATACAGGTTTTTTATTTCATGAAAAATTCGACCAAAAAATAATTGCTGTAGTTATTACACTACTACACCAGCATTACATTTTTCCTGTCGCGCACCGTAGAGGCAGCTCACGCGCCACCACACTTTGGAGCTTTAGACAATTAACTAAAAACCAAATCAGTTTTTATATTTACTCCTTCATTTATTTGAGTTAGTCCGGAAAAAAATAGTCAAATCAGTCATTACTCAATTGACATAAATTTAAATTTTTTTATATCAGTCTACGCAGACGGATACCTAATTTCAATACATCCAATCAAATCAGTCTAGCATAGGCAGAGCACATACTGAGCCAATCAGAGAAAAAGACTCTCAACAACAATAACAACTGCATTAGCATTCCTGCGAAATTCCGCTTCTTATCCAACTCACAAACATGAACACACATCTTGTCCTGCAACTGAGCTTCTTGAACGAGTGTCCTAACAAGCATTGGCCCTGGGAAAAAGAAAAACAAAAAAATGTATTTGTCATGAATAACTCATGAGGTCAAGCCAATTTTGAGACCACATAAATCTGCTCATGGTTCAGAAAAAAGGTTGAGAAATCAGCTGAAAACATCCAACAGTCATAAATCCAAATCCATCTAATTCAAGCACTCCCAACAAACTTTTCATGTTTATCTGCCTCTGGATAAATCCACCACAGAGTCGTTTAAAGAGCAGAGGGGCACTCCACAAATCCGGATTAGCAACTTAGCCACACAATTTTAGGAAGCTTATAGCTAATATTTTCTGAAATTGTGTTTTTTTTAAAAGAAACCATCACCTTGGATAACTGAAATCTGATACCAAATGTAATATCAGATTTAATTTTCCGATACAAATCTGTTTCACCAGATTTAAATGAACTGTTGTGAGTTTCATATGCTTAACTTTCTAATCCTGCTTTGTGAAATACCCCTCCGGACTACCGCCATCAGTGTGTTTTTATGGAACAGGAGATGAAGTCTGACCACAAGTTATCCTAAATGCTGCTCTTTAACCGAGACTAACTCTAGTAGCCAAAACAATTACACTTTACGTTACTGGTAATGCCTGAAAATAGTCCTGTGTGCAATTTCAAACTTTTAAAATGCCTTTGTGATCATTTTGTTACAGAAAAAAAAGGGCATTACAGTAAATCCTGGTTCATTGCTGATCGTTGATTTTAGGATGGACAAACACTCCTGTCTACATCATTGGAGCTGAGGTGGAGCAGGTAAATAGTTTCAAGTTCTTGGAAATCAGCATCACGGAGAATCTGACATGGTCGTCTCACATTTCCACGCTGGTGAAGAAAGCTCAGAAACGACTGTATTTCTTGAGGAAGCTTAATAAGGCCAAATTCCCACGCCAAGTTCTTGTCAGCTTTTACAGGAGGAGCAACAGAAAGCATCCAGACTGGAAACATCACAAACCGGCATGGGATGTGCACGGCCCAGGACCGGAGGGCTCTGCAGCAGGTGATTAAACCTGCTCAGAAGATCATTGGTACCCATCTCCTGAGCATCAGTGATATCGGTGAGGTGCCTACGCAGAGCCCAAAGGATACTAAAGGACAGAACCCACCCAGCCACAGCCTGTTCACCCTGCTGCCTTCTGGGAAGAGATATAGAAGTTTCTGCTGCTGCACCACCAGACTGCAGAGCAGCTTCCCCCCCCAAACTATCTTAAACTCTAATTCATCCTCAGCACTGCTCCAGTGATGAGTTTATTCTTTATTGATGTACATTGTCTGCTATGTAGCTGAAAGGACTTACAAAACTCAATTTCACTCTACAACTTGTTATAATGTGACAATAAACTTACCTACCTATTGGCTTACTTCAAGGTTTAAATATTCAGAAGACTGCAGGTGGGAATAAGAGCGAGACAGTTGTGGTTGAAAACTAGAAGGGGTTCAGGTTCCATACCCAGTGAAGATCTACCCAACCAGTCTTAGTTTTACCTCTAAGCACAGGTGTTTCACCCTGCATGCATCGGCTTCCTGCAGTCGTAGTTCAGCCGAAACGGCAAACTCCGATTCTGAAATGTGAAGCCAATACGAAAGTGCCTAACACCTACATTGTTTCTAATGGCCAGCAGGGGGCGACTACACTGGTTGCAAAAACAAGTCCTATTGCAGTCAAAATGAGACAAAATGAGGCTACTTCTCAACCGATTTATTACCTCAGTAAACACTTTCCTAATTACTTTATGGTTTGCTAGTTTCAAGTCTTCTTCAATAAAGCAGGATGCTCATTTTGTTAATTATGGTCCCATTTAGAAGAAGATGGACGATAGGCTAAAGCGGGTATGCTTTAGTGAAGTGGTCGGCAATAGGCGGCCCGCCAGCAATTATATTCTCAGTCATGACAGCAACAGTTACTCACATAATCACTTCCTCTGAAGTGTTTGTGCCTCCAAAATAAAAGCACAAGAACGTTTTTTGCAGCAACGCTTCATGTTGAGTTTATTGAGAGCTTTTACTTTGAAATGTTCTGATGGACATTCAAAAGAGTCTCTGGCTTACATGACACACCTCTGTAAAAGCCGTCAGTAAACGTGTGATTGGATTCCCCTGAATTTCCTCAGGGAAATGAAAATTAGTGTCCGATGGCCAGAATGCCAAACTTGAGGCTTCAATACGGTAGTCCACAAACCAAAGGGTGACGTCACAGTGGCTACGACCACTTACTGTCTATGGTTTGGCCTCTGCAACAAGCAGCAGCTGACATTAAAACCTGCTGAGCTGTCCTGCAACCACTTCAATACATCAGCCAGTAAAAGATCTGACTCACAGTTTTTGTTCTTATCTGAGAGGATTTTCACGGCTGGTTATGATTTGGCGTGGAAGTGCAGGAAGGGTTAAACCACGCTCAGTGGAGTTTTATCCAGGTGTTACTGGTTTTCACGTGTAAAAGTGATTTAATTAGAATGCTGCGTCATCTGTAAAAAGGTTTGCATCATTGTGTTGCGCAGCATTTCCTTCAGCTTCATCAAAGGTGGCCGTGTGTTTTCTCATCATACAGAGGCGGGTTTAGAAGTGTCCTTAACAATTATCACATTCAACCAGCAGTTACCATAGATGCCACTGAGACACTTCAGAGTCACTTCAACCCAGTTTGACCCAGTTCAAAGTGTGGAATGACAATTAAAGCAATTAGCCACATGTATGTTGTCTGAGTAAATTCAATTTTTTTCACTGACAATGAAGCTGGCAGTTATTTTCTTGGTCAGAAAATAGTGGAAATTCGCTATCACATCTTCCTAAACCCCCAAGTTAACTTTTTCCTACTGTTAGTTTTGTCTTTTTGTCCAAACCAGCAGTACAAAGCCCAAAAGGTATTCTGTTTGTAATTAATTATCATAAATGTTACATTTTGTGTTTCGGGTATTATTGATAACTTAACTGCAAAATACAAATAAAATGCATGTGGTACTGATGTAAACAATTACTTTAAAATTACAATTACTTAAGAAACATAAAATGTTAGTAACTTGTAGGTCTGCATAATAGTTCAATATTATTAAAAGTGACACTGGTCATCTTGCAAGTCTGGACTTTTTGTGGTGGAAGCGAACAAACAAACTGTTAAGATCTGCTTGACTAATTGTGTCTTTTAAATAAAAGGTTTTATACAACAGAAGCTAATTAACGAACCAGACAAATATGAGGTCGTTTAAGCTTTCAAAATACGTGCAAACAGAAGGGCAAGAAAACACGTCAAGGAGTGTGTGGGGTCACCGATTCTCCTGTAACACCGGGGCCCCGGTATGAACGCCACAGCGGTTTCAAAACAGGTTTTTGCTGCTTCGTATCACCTGAGAGGGGTGAAGAGAACGCAAAGGCTGGCGGGTTTTTTGTTTTGTTTTGTTTTGTTTATGAGACGTGGGTGAAAGTACCTGCACCTTCCTTGAACATGCAGGTGGTAAACAAACCGGGGGGGAACTTACGGCGCATTTTCTTCCCAGGTAGCCGAACAGGCACTCGTTTTCCTGCGGGGTCAGGAGGATGGAGCCGACGTTAGCGGACCTTCGGGGCGGCTGGTGGCTGTTCATGGCTCCGAAGTCTTCTAGTTAACCCCACTAAACGATGCAGTTTTCCCCGGACGGACTCGGCAAACACTACCAATTACAGAAAATCCATGCGGGCTCCGGTTGCTATGGCCTGCAACCGGATCATCTCCGCTGAGTCCGACTCCGGGCTGGAGGGCGGAGAAGGACGGGGAGCTGTTTTCCAGGCTTGCTCTTGCTCAGGAAAGAACAATAACTCCTCCGTGTTGGTGTTAAATAAAAAATGAAGGAGTCGCTACGTGTCCGTACGCGGATAAACGCTCAACTTTCATTCGGAAACTCCAGCAGCTGCAGCAGCGATGCGTACATCCAACATGGCAGCAAGACGGAGCAGACCACTTTAAAGACGGAGGAGAGGGGAGGTGTTAGTTTGGGGAAACTCTTCAAGTATCCACTGTAATATGCTTCACATCGTGAGGTTTGCGAGCACACACACAGAAATATATGATTCATCGTTCATTTTAAGTTAAAACTGCGTGTCGGGTGTGTTTTGGGTCCATTATGTGTCGCTAGGATGTCGTTGCTAACACGAAATGGTTCGGTCCGATGTAGCAGCAGAATGCAGCTCTGCGGAGGGAGAGGGAGGGGCGGGTATTGTGACGTAGCGCGGGGAGGAGCCAGATGGTGGACGTAAAAATGTAAATAAGATGCCTTTGCTCATCAATAATTTATAAACTGATGAATATTTTGTACATATGATGCCTTCTGTGGGGAAAATATTAAAATATCCCAAGTTTGCACAACAGAAATTATACAATAGTGCTAAATTTCTCCAGGAGAAAAGGAGCCGAAATTGTAATAAAAAAATTGTACTGTGCATTTAGAAAAATGAAGTAAAAAAACTAGACTGTTTCCCTTTGACTTAATAAAATATAACAATCATAATTGAGCACATTCAGCCACAGACTCATCCAGCCCAGAGCCCTGAAGCGCTTTGGAGGCTCATTTGTGCCATTATCAGCCACAACGCCACAGAACCCAACTGACACCGACTCTATTTGTGATTATAGATTTGATTTATCTGATTGTAAATAATTGTTATCATATATTGATTGTATATGTTGTGTATACACTGTGTATATAGCCTATTTATCCATCTACGTAGAATGATTATACTTTTAATCTGTTGTGTTACATTCCTCTGTGCTGCTGTGTCAACCTGAATTTCTCATACGCAGGTTTAATAAAGGTAAATCTTAAAATATCTTATTTTATACACATCATCATTAGCATGACTTAGCATTAGATTATAAAATAACCCTTTTTGAAATAACTCTTTTTTTTGTTACTTTAATTTCTTAATCAAATCTATTACTACTCTTGTTTTTTGTTTTGTTTTTTTAATTTTGGGATGTTGGGATCATGTGCTGGGGTGGGATTTTTGAGAAGTAACTACTGTAAGGGATCACAATAACAAATAAAGAGTATGAAGAAAAAGATTCTGAACACTTCTCACTGAGAATAAAAACAGTACAACCGTGGGCTCAAACACCAAAACAATGAGCTGAAAGCTTCTTCAAAGGCCAGTAGAGCTGATGAGAAATGCATCTATTGAATTGAAAAGTTCTATAAAGTAAAACTATTATTATTTCTTAATTTTTTCTACTTAAGATGTTTATTGTTTGTGGCAGTTTTTTTGTAACACATCTGCTTTTTTGTCCTGTGTTCACAGCAACAGAGTAAACAACTCACATTGGACCACCATGTGTAAATAAACATTGAATAAAATGAATATTGATGGTGTCAATCTGTTGCTGCACCCATCTCTGTGGCTCAGGTCAAGATCAACAAATACTGGCCAGATCACCTTCAGCTTTTTGAACTTTCCTGCCTGTCCTGCAACTGCCCTTCTCTCCCTAAATGAGATAATATTCATTTACACTTTTGTACTGCCCAAACTTGGAACAACAAGACTTGCAGTCATCTCTTCCCTGAAAACAAGCTGCTGTCCTGTTCTGACTTTAAAAGTCATGACAAATTAATTTTGATACACTTTTTAAATAAGTTCGGACACTCCTTTATCAATACAAATAAAATCAGGGGGAGGGTTGTGAAGGCGGCTTTGGCAGATGGACGGATGTCGGCGTCCCGCAGGTCCCGCCCGCCTACTGCAGGGTTAAAGCTTGTCAGCAGCATTAACACCAAAACTAAGCCGTAGACCAGCTGCTTCTTCACTCTGCTGTATAAAACACTGAACGGAGGCCAAACAAGAGGAATTGAAGGACCATTCACATCTATCACAGAACCTGCATTGTAACCAGAGTGACATCCTGCTAGTGTCCCATAGAGGCTGCAGTGTTCATTACAGACACAGTCTGAAAGTGCTGGACAGCAACAACATCCTGGTGATTTATCTGTTCTTAGAGTCTTACCCGCAGTGAAGATAAGAATGGAAAGATTGTATTGAAGGTGGTGCTAGAGGAAAAATCACTGGGTCTTTGAAATTTACAGGGTCCATTGTCTGGAAAGCTGGAATGGAATCAGGTCATGTCATAACAATCTGATCAGTAGTTGCTGAGATATTTCTAGCATCATAGCTCTAGTGATGGTGAAGTTGGTTGGTCCACCACTTCGGTCCACACAGAAATATCTCTACAACTACGTTGGATTGCCAAGCTGTCAGATTCTTGAGCTCAGTTTCACCGAATGTATTTATTTCTGTTTACCATATTTATAATTGCAGGGCAGTGCAGTTGTGCAGTGGTTAGCACAGTCGCCTCCCAGCAAAAAGGTCGTGGGTTCGAACCCCGGTTGTCCCGGCCTTTCTGTGTGGAGTATGCACCCTAGGTATGAGTGTGACTGGTTCTTTGTGTATGTGTGGCCCTGTGTTGGACTGGCGACCTGTCCAGGGTGTACTCCGCCCTTCGCCCGATGTCAGCTGGGATTGGTTCCAGCCCCCCGCAACCCTGTACGCAGGATAAGCAGTTGACAATGGATGGATATTTATAATTGCTTCTACATAAATGTATAGCAGGAGGGAGTTACAAACTCAAATTCAATATAACCTGTTATATTGCGACCGATCGACTGACCAACTGACTGACCGACCGACCGACCTACCTACCTACCTTGTCCCCAGAGGAAGAATTCTAATGGCTTTGTTGATCCCCTGATTTTTCATTGCGCACCACTATCAGGTCAAAGTTTTCTAACAGCCTATGCTGTGAAATATCTGAGAATTTTCTAGATGGATAAGCTGAAAATTTGGTACAGATATCCACGTTGCTCAGACAATGAATCCTAATGACTTTGGTGACACCTAATTTTCCTCCAGTGTCTCTAAGGATGAATACGTGCTCTCCTGATTTTGTAGCACCACAACAAGGTCAGAATTTTGATTTGTCCAATACTTTGGATTATAAGCAAGTACCTGAAAAACTATGACATTCCCATCAGCCTCAGTTGCACTTTGTCATTACTGCTAAGTAACAAATGTTAGCATGCTAACTTGCTAAACTGAGATGGTGAATATGGCAAACATTATATTTACTAAACATCAGCATATTTTAACATTGATTAGATAGATCATGCTTTTCTGACCACAACCTTCTGCACAACATGAGTTTGAACAAGAGGGTCAAAGGTGCGGCGTTACTTTCTCCTAGTTGTATGCATACTGAATGCAGCAGTACATGCTTTGTAAGGGCAACTGCAGTATAAAGCTAAGAAGAAGAATTATGCAATTTATAACGCAGCATTTGTCTTGTTTTCTTGTCTTGAACAAACTCATGAACCAACACTGTAGCTGAAACAGAGCTTTTTCCTCATGAATTAATCCAGTTCCATCTTATTTTATCTTGTTCCATGCACACCTGTGACAGAGAGATGAGAGTCATGGTTTTAATATTAACAGATGGTGAGGGGTAATGTGGGAGGGAGTTGTATTCTGAGGCAGAACAGACACTGCACAGCTAAGATGGACTTAATGAGGATCATCTGCTGTCTTATTCTTGTCTTGTTCAGGTGTTTCTGTCAGATTTGACCAGCTCTTTTTACTTTCCTTCAGTCTGTCTCATCTGCATCTGCTTTAGCTAGTGGATTTGCATTTTCCAGAATTTCTTTCAACAACCTCCAGTGACGGTCTTGTTGTTTTTGGATACAGATAAAGAGAGTGATTATATAATAACAAGAGGATTGCCTCTTCCACAGAACCTGAAACTCTTGTGGCTACACAGCATTCTCGTGTATTTTCTGTTCCTATAATTTAAACTTTGCAGTATTTGTGTTTTTATGAATTGCTTGTAATTTTAAAAGAAGAATTTCAGCTATTTAAATGACTGAAATTGAGTGAAATTTGTCAAGTTGCTTGAAACGTGTTGGGAGCAATGTGTCTCTGTGTATTAGTGTATTTCACAGATGGCACCGCTAGATGGTGCTAGACACAGGACTGTCCAACCTGCCTCTCCTCTTCACCCAAAATGCACACAGAGAGGGAGCATGTTCAACTGAAGGTTTGTAACACATATGAAAGTAGGTGATCTCATTGACACAGGAGGCACACATGAAGAGCTAGGGTATATGTTGTTACATGCAATCAACAAATCAAAGAGGGTTAAATAACAACTCTAATACTGAAATAACATACAACACACAAAATGCACAAAAAGTATTACAAATGACTGAAAACTGTGAAATATGAAACCAACACATTTATGAAGCTGCTCAATCTGTCTTCAAAATTGTTCATTAGGTGAACCTAAAGTACTCTCTGCTCCCTTACCAACCATGTTGTATGAGCTCTTAAGCAGGGCACCTGTCCCTCATTACAGCTATGAAAGATTTAATGAGGAGCAGGGGCGCCGTTCAAGGCGTGGCCAGAGGGGCCATCACTGTCACATTCCAACCCCTCCATCAGCCTGCTATTGCACAGTGCACTAGTGATGGGAATTACGGTTCTGTGAAGGGAGCCAGATCTTATTTGTCAGTTTCTTTCCAAGAGCCGGCTCCCAAACGGCTCTTCATTTAGTACAACTAGCAACTAAATGAAGAGCCGAGATCTTTTGCTACGTTTGCACGTCCCGTCCAGACTAAAACGCTGAATACAGTACTGAGCACCTAAAACGGAGAAGTTTGAAAACACTGCTGACCCCATTTTTTTTTTTTTATTCCAGGGTAGCGTTTTAGTGCAGACGGGCAAAAACCGAGGACGTTAAAAAACTATGACGTAGACGCTCACGTTCGGCTCTCTGATTGGGTCATACAAGTCATGCAAAGCAAAAACACAATACTACTGACAGAGTTTTAGTTTTGGCATTGTTATTATAACATTTTGTACCATGCAAATAACACTTACAGCCTACGGTTGTACTGTGCATGTTGCTTACTTTGCAACGACTTCCAGTCTGTTTTCTGCCGCCACAGTCGCTTTTAAACTCCCGTGTTACTTTCAGTAACAGTTCCAACTCATTGTTGGCCCATGCAAAAGAAATATCTGGTGTGGTTCTTTGTCTGTAGTACTTTATTCTTTCGCC